GAGAAAATCTTCGCGCGTTTCATCAGCAAATATTTAAGAAACGTTAATCGTGGCTTAAAGCAATTCAAACAAAACCGTCATTCCAGATAGTACAATAGACTTTACTTAGATTCCATCAAGCCGGTGAATAGCGAGGCAACAAAATGGCAGATCGTACCGCGAAGGTACAATGACAAAACCAGATGAATCTTTCAGAAAAGTCAGAAATGAATTCTAATTTATGAATTAATTTACTAAAGAGAAAATTATTAGGTGTACGAATGAATTATCCAAATTATCTTAAGCAGTTATAATAGTGTTGACATATAGCTAGGCAAAAGAACATAACCTTCAAAAGTATTCAATTCACCTAATACTTTACGAATGATTCTAAAATTTGTACTCGTTATTCTCTAGTCTTATGATCAACAGTGTAAGTCACAAATGAATTTAAATCTCTATGATATTAATTTCAAATGTTACAATTTTTTGTTTTAAACAAACTGGTGTTTGGTATATTAGATCAGGTTCGAGGCATGCAAGAAACGACAAAGATTTACGGAACAACCCGATACAAGGACGCATAGACAAGAGTTGTCTAAATTTATTTCAGGGTTGACTGTCACGCGTCGTCGATGCTTTTATTTTGCCAAACTCTTAAGCGAGTTCGCTTACCCAGTTAATGTGTTTTTGGTTCAGCGTCTCTCTGCGTTTCTTCGTCGTTCAACCTGTCACCTTTGTTTCTTTGTTTTCTCGTTCCGCGAGTGAACGTTAAGTCCCCGCTGCGCGGGCTGAATAAATTTTATTCGAAACGAAAATAAAGGACAACTAATTTACATACTGTAAAATGCAGACTTATTCGAAATAACTGAAACTGCCAGTAATGAAACCATTCCAACTGGAATGCAAAATTATTTTATCTTTGTGTGATACGAAATCTGCCACACACGGTATGAAAAATTTTACGAACATCGTCTTGTGTTTCATTACTATTATTATTGATATCCATGGAAATTAACTATTTAAAAGTTGGATGTAATATGAGCTATAGCGGTTAAAAAATAAATTTGAAAAAATACATGCTGCAGTAGTTAAATTTAATTTAATATTTCAGAGTTTAATATTATATGTAATTTAATCAGAATGATGATAATGATCGTAACAAAAAATTAATTAAAAACGTGCACGGTTCTAAATTAGAATAAAGTAAGATCAGCTACTGATCTATGTTCCGCGATTCTTTAAATTAAGATGATCTATATCACTTTTATTATTCTTCTATCAGAATAAAGTATCTCGAATGGTTTTATCTTGTAACAATTTATGTGCATCGAGTAATAACTCAAAGGTATAATTTAACGAAAAACTGTTCTTTTTTTCCCCCTGTCTCTGGTGTTCGGTTTGTCTCGAAATAAAACGATCGTCGATCGCAAAAGCGAAACGCGCGGGCGAGCTCTTTGGCAATGGTCCGAGCTTCTGTGCGAGAAATGAATTCCCGAGGATGAGAATCGGCTGGAACAATGACGAATTCTCGTCCATTCGCGCGTCGACCGAGAAAACGATATCGATAAATTTCCAATCGATTTATATCACAACCGAAGATCGTGTTTCATTCCCGGTAAAATAATTCACCTTGTTACATTGTCTGGTTCCCCGAGCTCGCAATTATTATGGAAATTCCATTCCGAACTATTTGTTCGCGTCGTTGATAAGAAAATCGTGTTGCGTAACGTACCATATCTAAATTGTTTCTGACTTTTCTTCTTACCTGCCGGGGGTCTAGCAATAAATTTACTACGCGGTAAAACTGTCCAAAGTGAACCCTATTAATCTTGCAATATTAACAACGGCTGTTTTAAAATAGATTTTACGTACTGGACCACGCGAACATTAATATTCCACGTTCTCAGCAAATTTTTTCCTATATTGAGAAAACTGCATTGTAATAAAATGGGGTTGGATTTGAAATTGAACTTTGAGGTTTGTGTTTATGAACTGCTCGAAATATTTGAACTAGTTTCCGTATTAAAGTCATTAATAATAATTGGTCCAGTCAAGTATTAATGGTAATTGTAATCGAAGCATCGATAGTTGGGAAAACTAAAGTGCACTGAACTTCAAACTATGCGCGTGGAAATTGGAAGCATTAGTGCATAAACAGTTCTGTGATAAACTTAATTTGCCTGGCCCTATTGTGGCTAGAGCGCAAGGCGCAAGGAACGATATCGCGTCGGATGTTATGCACTCAAACAAGCGCCACGTGTTCGCAATAAACTAGTATTTATAGGCAATAGTCGGATTGAGCCTTACTCTCTCCTGAATATACGCGAATTTTCGACAGTTGTTTCTGCGGATGTTTGTCGAACTGCCAGATCTTTATTGTGTTGATCCCTGTTTACTTGTGAATTGCTAAACATGCATTCGACACCGTGTGATTAGGATGGTTTATCGCAAACTTTCGATGACCTAAAATTAAACTACTCGGAATTTGGAACTCGGAACGTATATAGAATTATATTTACAATAATCAAATCCATCTGTAAAACGGCAATCTGTGAACAGCTGCGTACACGCGGTAAATTGGTCCTAGTGGTTCTCATCCAACTTGAGAAACTTTACTTACGGAACTACCAACAGCCTTAAATTTTATGTCAACTCACGTTGCATGAGATTCAACCTTCTTTCAATACACAATGTTGTGCACAAAAATCACCCATGTTAAAAAAAGAATTGAGAACGAAGCTAGGCAAAATATTAGATAGCCGCAATAGAAATTGTTAGAAGTGTACAAATGTTAATAGAGACTCTTTTGATACTAAAAATCTAATTTGACTATGCTTAAATATACTTTAACGTTACCAAAAAAGACCAAAAATTAATTTGCAAATCTAATATAAAAATTTGTATGGAAGTTTTACATTGCGAAGACGAGTTTTAATCTGCTAGAAAAGTTCGAAATAATAATACGGTATAATTGCTAGCTTCGTAGATAAAAATTTATTTGCACAGCCGGTTTTCTCTTAGATTCCATATTTGAAATTATAGAACTCACAAACATCACTCGTTAGCAATGTATATTGAGTTTGATTAATATAATGTATTTCTTAAACAGATTTGAAATCAGTAAAATGATTATTCGAACTAATTACACGTGGACTATATCGTGTTCCAATTTCAACAAAATCCCAGACATCGACCGCAAAAAGCAATCGATTTCTCGTGGAATGTCCCCGCAGAGAGAATTATTCTATTTCACAATATAATGAGTTTTCAGACATCGTACAATATTTCTAATTTCTTTAATCATTTCAAACTCTCGAACGTCGGGGATCCTAGACGATCACTTATCACAACTCTGCTACATAGTTTTCCACTAAATACGTCGCTCTCGGAATGATTAATAACAGGCTTTCTGGCGCGTTTAACCTCGCATATTCGAAATTCTGACATACTTGCGCAATTCGGCGGCCATATTTGTAGCATAAAAGAAATCTACAGAATGCGATGAATTTCATTCAAATCCGTGAAAGGAACTAAATTTTTTTTCTATTATATAACTAAACAAGCATGAATTCCAGCGCAAACTGAATACCAAATATATCGATGATAAAAATATATGGAAATCGAATGGAAAATATCGAAATTTCTATGCGATACACGAACAGAGTTCCGTTCTCTGATGAAAACGATCCGCTGACGACTTACATCCCCTGCAGCGAAACTTTGTTGTCTCCTAGTATACAGGGTGAAGCGTTTCTTTTTTCCCCCCCCTGTGAAATCTCAAAAATCTCTCACCCTTTCTGATAATACTAAAAATGTCCGACTCGAAGCGGCAAATATCGTAAAAGATCATTCTTTTCGCGGGTGTTTCTTCATTTTTTAAATGGAATTGGATGATTCGTCTAATCGTGGTATTTATCCCTTCGAACGGAACGATATTTTCATGGATCGTATTTATGTATCGAAGAAAGAAATTGAGATGTCTGGGATGATAACGTTGGACGTCTCACCCTGTACGTTATTTTCCCTTTTATCGATTATTCACATGGTCGAACGCTTTGGAATGTATCCTGTTCACGTTTACGTATCCAGCTTTGTCAATTCTCAAAGGCCGGAGTTTAATCGAATAGGTGAATCGAAATGAAGAGATGCGGGTGACAAATGATAAAATTACGTATTCTATCGCGCAATTGTTATAGGCCAACGACGACTACGGAATTCAACGTAAAATTCAAACTGAAAAAGGCGGCTGTTATAGCATGACTCTATCCTATGAAGTATTTTAGTACAACCATGAACAATAAAGATATTTAGCTCGTATGTTTTGGAATCATTTTTCTAAGTGCATATGCAAAAATAAATTGTATATTTCATTTAGTTTTATCATATGCATTCTAAAAATTTGATATTGTTTTATGGGAAGGTAAGCCAAAAAGTATACCAATTTCGCTGCGTAATTAATCGTACCTTACAAAAAAAGCTGCTCGAAGGACGAAATAAGAATGTGACCATCATTTCTTTTTATTTGTGACCAACTAATATTTTTCAATTTGAAATTATTCGTGTCTCTCAACAATAATACAGTATCGAACCTGCGTTTAAAATAATAAACTCGACGAACGACAAAACGAAATAGGAAGTAAAAAGCTCCACAAACAAAACTGTTTGTCAAACGGAAAAAGCATATCGCAGATACAACACGGAAAATATTTCGCGTCACGTTTTTCACTTACATACGAATGTACAAAATCTGATTACTCGATTCATGTGTGATAGTAGAATTGCATTTTTTTTTTTTAAACCAACGCAAAACATGATACTCCTTTACCACTGCTCACTTAAAAGACAATTTTCCATGTTTGCTTTTGTTAAGCAGTACCGTTGAAAAAACTCCTTAAGCCCTACGATGAATAAGTCACGCAAAAGTTTGTAATTAGCATTCGTTTCAAAGCTTCTGTATTGAACTCGTACGGGTTCCTTTTGTAGGCCTGTTATTTACGTTTTACGCTGAGCGTCGTTACCTCGCGAAAAAAATCTTTTCACGATGACCTCCATCAGCTTCCGACAACTTTTGACACCTCGCACGTTTCATAACACTCGTGTCTACGGACAAGATAAAAATAATGTTAAGCCCTAATGTAAACGTATAAATTAACTGGCCAATTTAACCGGCGACTAAACTTATTACAATTTACCCCTCATCTGCACGAAGAAAGATTCTTTTTATCCCATATGCTAAGATTAAACCCCTATCATTGAGTACCAAGAACACTTGTCGTGTCAAGAAGCAGTGTCTCATATCGAATTTCACGCACTATCTTTCGTGGCCATTAAACCTCGTGTGACAGAGCGACATTAGTGGTTTTGCCGAAAAGCTTTCTGCCAATAAATGTCAACCCACTGATAGCAAACTAAGACTTATAATAAGTCGCCCCAACTTCACGAAAAAAGATTTCAATTTGATAAAAAGAATCAATGAAACTCCAAATTACTGTGCGTTTAATATCTACGAGCTTTTTTGCAAATGAAACTTCGTATGGACGTATTAAAATACAGTTGCAAAACTTACCATGAAAAAGTTACTGGACCAGTTGAAGCAGAGGCACTGTGCTTCACTGAACACATACACTGAGTTTGATTGTCAATGCAACGTTCGTTCATTTGTCACTTACTCCATGACAGACGCGAAGTTTACAGATTCGGGAAACACGTTACCACGATGCTCATCGGCGGAGTGGTATCTATAAACTGAAGGACCGACGAAGCCACGCGACTACGGAACTACCCGCCAACCCGAGTTGCCCCGATTCACCCCGAACTCGAACGAGCTATCTCGAACGATGAACGAAGATAAACGATGCCTCGTGCAACCTGTAAAAGAAATCATAATTACACCAATGATGTACAGGTTGCGTGATCGCAAAGGTTTTCTCTAGAAAAGAGAACGACTCAAATATTAAAAAAACACCCCTAAAAATAATCGTTCAAGAATAATGAATTTTCTTATTATTATTCTTCTTTCTGTCCATGGAGCAACAGTTTAACAATTTTGATTGTAACCTCTTACAAAATTTTGTTTATTTGCAGTTTAAAGCATTCGAATGAAAAATCTTACCGAAAACAATCATGCATTCATATTGCAATGGCGCTTCTGATTTTAACCTCTTGCTAATAGAGAAAGCAGATTGTTTCAATCGTTTATTAGACAAAGTACATCCTCCGAATGTTTCAAGTCACAACGTAGAGCGGGAATTACGGAAATCGGGTAAATTTCGAGGGACATTTGAAATCAGAACAGATGGCGATAGGGAGCCCGCGGTTCTCAGTTCATAGTGAAAAATGGCCGGCGCCAACGATTGTTTCAGCATTGGAAGTACGGTGGCCTGTAAAACCTGTTACAAGGAGGAGATCGAAGGCGAAGTGTTAGCGTTCGATCCACAAACTAAAATGCTGATCCTAAGTATCCTTTTCTTATAAATTCCCTGAAAGTATCGCCCTTCTCAACGAATACTTTGATTCAGCGCTCATACATCGTTCGTTTAACATTGCTACAGTGTAAATAACTTTAGAGATAACTGCGACAGGTTTTGTAATTTTTAATTAGCGACAATTACGTTCCGTTTCGCGATTTTTCACGGGCAATGTATAATACCGCTTGTCAATTATTTGGTGATTTTCTAAACAGCCACACGAAGTCAGGTTAGTTTCGTCACTCAATCAACCATGCTGGATTTTCCATTCGTTTTATTTCTTTGCCGATCCATTCTCGAATGTATTTCCACGCTCTATGGAGATACTTTCACCTTCGTTTCCCGCAAAAATTGCTAAAAGAAATGTTTTCGGTGCAATAAGAAAAATTCCAATATCTCACTTATAACCTTAGAATTCATTTAAGCATAAGACACTGTGACAGGAATCTCTATGAAACGAAAGTGCATTTAACTTTCAAACCCAATGATAACAGTGATTCCTTAACTGACATCAAACAGAATGTCCTTCTTCGAGTGGTGCACCCACGTTAAACGACGTACATATAGTAAATTTATCCTTGGTGTCTGAGGTCCAAGTAAAGCGGGAAGTTAGTCCCACAACTAGTGAACCACCACAAAGCCTTAATTTGCAAAAATTGAACAGAAGAGTACGTAAGCAAATCGAAGAGAAAAAGAAACTGGTAATGGCTCTGCAGGCCGGAGTATCTCCAGAGGGACAAAAACTCTTCAGTACTATATCAAAGACAATTCCGGAAATTACGTGGAATGGAGCAAATATCGTTGTATTTGATAATGTTACAATTAGACCACCGTACAAAGTCGATAATGTTCATGGTAATATAGAATCTGGAGCATACAAACATGTAAAAAAAGTGGTAAATATTTCAAAGAAGCGATACATGATGCGAGAACCCGAAATATCGGGTCTGATCAGGAAGACGAAATTTTGTTCGAGATCGGGACGGGTACCCGAATTCGAGAGCTCGAATCGACCCGATTCGTCTCGATCATCGGGTTCTCGCACACCCCTAATGATAATGTGTATTTATATCACTAATCTGTATAATTGTACAGGTTGAAAAACATATTAAAGATACAGAGGCATCGGCACAAGCACAACAACAACAACAACGGGAACAACAGCAAAAGCAAAAAGGAGGTGCAATGCAATAAAAGTTTAAAAAGGCACTATACCATGAACGAAGCTACCATCCTGTCACAGAAGTTCCAGTGTTTGATGGAAAGTAGGAAACAATGATAACAGGATACTAAAAGGAAACCATTGCAAAACTACTACATAAGCCTATCATGAAAATCAGCATCATAGATAAAATTCAACGTGTTTCGATTAAAGAGCACTTTATGAAAACAAAGTGCAAATCAAATATTAGAATTTTAAATAAGTTTCAAATACATTGATCCCGTCGTATGAGCAGCATTTTGTAAAGCAATGGAACGCGTCATACTCGATTTTTAACACGAACCGTACTCTTCAATGAAGGGTCTTGTTTATTCTGTCTAACAAGCTGCCATACAACTTACGTTCTGCTGGAACTATTGTTCATACATGTGCTCTGATGCAGGTGTGTTTTAGTTTAGTTTTACATTGTTACAAGTACGTTTAGTAGTTGTTTACAGATCATTGATATACATGGTGGTAACATGATTCGATTATTATACAAAGTACCAATTTTTTAAAACAAATCGATCACCGCGGTATGATTTAAGTCCGTATGAAACGGTTCATCATTTTTAACTAGTATCATAATTTAAAAAGAAACGATCAACGAAAACTTTCATATGCAACTATTTCTACTTCGATGCTGATTGAAATCTTACGTTCATTCGCGAATTATGATACAAATTATTTCAAATCTCCTCATATGGTACTATCGATCTCGAAATTTGTAAACAAGAAAACGCAAACGTCAACACTATATCACGCCTGCGTCGGCACGAGACGTCTTCGGTAGCAATATGACATTGTAAAATAAAAGGACATCCCTCGCATAGAACGAGCTAAACAATTGTTATTTAAGGAAACATCGACTTGGTCTGTGCAAGGGCGTAAGCGCCACCTAACTTACAATTAGGGATAGCTTCATTTGCAATGATAACGGAATTCGTCTCGTGCTCTTTACTTTTTGAACGCGAAGAAAAGTCGGGCAGAAAGAAAAGAAAGATTATAAAATTAATTACATGAAAAGACACAAATAAATGTAATATAAATTCTATGGCTCTTGTTTTACGTTTATTATTCCTTTATTGATGCTTTTATCGAAATTTTACATTACGACACTACATTATGTTTTCTGGAATAAAAATATTTCCTATAAAAACGATGCGATCTTTATTCAGTATTTTCATCTAACTCCTCAATCGTTTCCGAAACGTTCGAACTTCGTATAATCGCACTTAAGTCGTGCGTTACTCGAGCAATTCGAGCCGCAGCTTTAAACTTAATAGCCACACGTTGCTTTTCAGTTTTCTTTTTCCACTAAAACAGTGATAAAACACGTATTGAAGTCTTATTTTAAAAAATTAATTATATCCCACTTTCTCTTTCGCGTGAAATGCAAGTAATGAATTTTTATATTTCTTCTTACTATCTTATAATAAATAAAATATGTAAAAACTGCTCTGATAGTCGGAATGGATAACTACACTAATATTAGCACCAACCGCTACACAATAATTCCCTATACTTTACGTTAAGTGTAAATTAATATATTCATCTACTGGATATAGTTACAAATAAAGAAATTTATACTTCAATTTGTTTTTTACATAAATATAAACTATAAAACCTATAATAGAAATACGTGTAAAAAATATTACTATCAATCAACCTATCAAATAAACGCAATTCTGGTGAAAAAAATTGATTGAAGATTTTCTGTGGGTATTTTCTAAATGTAGTTGGCACATAAATTAACTAAATTTGATACTTCCCTTTCCACCAAAGTAAGATAGAGTAGGAGAGGAAGAATATCATGGTCGAGTGTTTTGAGAGAACGTTTTAAGTTTGTATCTTATATCCGTGTTACATGTGTGGTTTTATATTTTTGGAAAACAAATGAAGTAAGGTAATTTTCGTCAGTTTTGCCAAAAATTATATATACCTTTAATTTCGTTATTCGATGTACCGCTTTGTATACAGCAATAACGATTTGTATTACTCTTAAACAGAATGTTGTGATAACTAAAATTTTGACAAAAACGATTGTAAATAAGTGTTTCAAAGTGTTTTAAATTCTGTTAAACGAAATACTTGTAGCCAGTTAGCTTTATAAAGCTTGGTAACCATTTTAAAACGATTTTACTCGACAACGCGGCAAGTGTTTATCCTAACCTATTTCGATAGTTGACAAATCTGTGACCGTATTAGGAACTAAAAATGTTTCATTTCAATTGCAATATTATCTATAAAAATTTGCCAGATGGTTATTAGAAAGGAAACCAATGAGAAATACAAATTATTTCGTTTACGTGTGCAGTTTCTATGATGTCTTCGAAAGTATGTATTGTTGGGTCAAGAATGTGATAAGTTGATAGTGTTAAGAATTGTTTACTTACATCTTCATCGCGAGATGGTAAGCCTGCAACATACTCTTTCATTTTTTCTTTTTTGGGATCCACTATAGCTAAAACAGATACACAACCATCGACTGTACCCAGAACTATGCTTTTACCGTCATAAGTGCTATCAATTGCACTTAATTCTGCTTGAACTCTGTAATTTGCTATCATTTCACAATCCGCGGATCTAAAAATTAAATATGTAGCTAAGTTTCATTCGTTTCGCAAATTTGATATATATTTTTACCTAAATACACGTATAGTTTTTCGTCCACTGTGATAATAAAGAACATATTCATCCGTACGGTTGAACATAGATATTACAGTGAATACTCCCTCTGCTACTTTTGGAATGTAAGTCATTACACTGGCACCTTTCTTTAACTCTAGAAGCTCTAAACCTCCCCTATAACAATAATAATATTAAATTTTTATCTTATACAGGTGTCCCTCGAGTTACGCGGAAAAAATTGCGGGAATGCTCGAGTTACGCGGTTTCGGAGTAATTTTACTTAAAAAGAGAATATACAGGTTGTTCGACCACCCCTAGGAAAAATTTTAATGGAATATCCTAGAGGCCAAAATAAGACGAAAATCAAGAACACCAATTTGTTGATGGAGGCTTTGTTAAAAAGTTATTAACCTCTTCCCGTGCCATTTACCTCGACGAAATCCGGGCCCAAACTATAGGTGCTAACGCGCGGTAAACAGATCAGACTGATACTAAAACTGTTTTGCAACAGAGGTTATAAGAATCGTGACCGACTCTTGTGGTGTACTGATAGGAACTAAAACTTGATCACGATCGCGATTTGCTGTCCGCGAGCCTGACTCGTGATGTTTACGTTTGGGCCGACTTTCTGTTCGCGAGTCTGGTTCGCCATATTCATGTTTGGGCCAAAATCTTCATCACGAGTCGGACTCGTTGAATCACGGGAAGGGGTTTACGTTTAAAGTTCCGCCCGTTCTGAATTTTTTTCTCGAAAATGCGCAGGATTTCGGGGGTATGTTTATTCACCAAAAATGATTGTAATTGACCCCCGCTACCGTAAATAATTTTTCCAGAACGATTAAAAATTTTTTTTTTTCATCGAAAAATTTAGGCATCTGATTAAATTTTCGGTAAGGAATTTTTTTCTCGAAAGTACGCAGGATTTCGGGGGTATGTGTAATGACCAAAAATGATTGTAATTGACCCCCGCAACCGAAAATAATTTTTCCAGAACGATTTAAAATTTTTGAATTTAATTGTTAATAACTTTTTAACGAAGCCTCCATTAACAAATTGATATTCTTGATTTTTGTCTTATTTTAGCCCCTAGAATCCCTTATTAAATAGATGAATGTTTTTAAATAAAAAAGATAATAGATATTTTACAATAAAAAACAAATAAGTCTCGACTTAACCGCGTAACTCGAGGGATGCCTGTAATAAATTTTAAGTTGCAAAATCTACCTGCTGGGTGCATATAATGTGTATTTTCCATCTTTGCTAACATTTCCACTCCATTTCGGAATTGTACGGACAATTTTCTTTTTGTTTATATCTAAAATAATACCTTTGTCCAACCCGATTATTCCTACCCATTGTGGTTTATTTGGCATGGGAGTGATGCACACAATATCCTATTAAAACGCGAGCAGTATACAAAAATATTTCCATACAGTAAATAAAAAAAAAAAAAAGTAGATTGTTCTAATACTATTCTTCTTACTTTGAATCCTGGCAACTTTACGGGAACCTTGCTAATCAATGCACCCGTTTTTGCATTATAAATTATAACACAATCTCTGTTACCCTTATCCGCTGCCGGAGCAATCAAGAAAGAATTGTCGGATGTGACTACAACGTTTCTGAACGGTGTACCTGTTTGACTTCTGACCGGATACTCCAACGAAAATATTGTTTTTCCATCTGATGATCGAACCAAAATAATTAGCAACGATTTCTAATATCTTTGTTAATTACGAACGTACCCGGAATCGCTCTTATGACAAGCGTAGCAACCGTTTTCATGTTCTCTACACCAACGGGATTCTTAGGTCTCGAAACAGCTATAAACTTGGACGAATTATCAATCAACGTTAACTGTCTTATGTTTTGTTGTTCCTCTTTAAACAACACTTGCTCTGTAATTCTGTTCCATATCAATACGTTGCCCGATTCTGTTGAAACGATATATCTAAAACGAAATATCCTAATGAAGCATTTACTCCAAAATTGCACTTAGGTTATTGTGGAATTACTGACTTCCCATCGTGTGTTATGCAAGCATGAGTAACGATTGCCCCCAAAGGACTGTCCGCCAATTTTGAAATCAACTTCCCTGTATGCAAGTCCCAAATCCCCACACAGTCTCTGGTGACTATAGCTGCTAAGTTGCATTCCTCCGCGAGACTATTGATTCAAACAAGTGGTTCTAGCCATAAAGTTCATATCATATTCCCTTGCACTACTAACGCATCAAAATACCTTATCATGTCTATCTGCAACTCGTGTCTGTCTATCACGTGAACTTGTTCGAAAATGTTATTTATATTCCACACTTTGACGCTTCTGTCGATACTCGAAGTAACTACGCTGTTCCAATTCCCGATGGTCAATGCTTCCAACTGAATGATTCTAGCAAAGTGTGCGTCTAATATTTTTACCAGGTCAGTTGTTTCTAGATTCCAAACGTACAAGTTCTTCCTACGAAAGGGACGCGTTTCGATTATAGTCTTGTCTTCTTCCACGTTGTTCCTTTCAACGTATCCTTTAAGCGTACCTTACACCAGCGACCGCGTAATTCTTTGTACTGCTGACCATTATCGAATTGGAGCACATCATCCTCGTGCTGATGTTTCGAACCCCGTTCGGTAACATCAAGATGCACGCGTCGCTTTTGCTCTCTAAGAACCAAACGATAAAACCGTTTGCGCTCGTAGCCAGAAGCATCTCTTCCTCTCTGTCCAATTTCAACTGTAGCAAGTACTCGACGTCGTCGTTGAAGGCTCTGGGCATGTCGCAAACCCTTTCCCATTCCGAGGACGTCTCGTCGCAGGTGTACTTCGTGACTCGGTTGTCGGTTTTGGTCGTACAAGTGTACAAAACCGTTTTGTTCTTCGTCATCGTCAGAACGCTAGAAGATATTCCTCGATAAACGTTTCAAACACTAATTCCAACCTGATAGTTCACCTGTGCAAATGCAGAGGATCCAAAGATCCTTTCTTCCTGTACGTATGAAGAAGCATTCTAGTATCTTCTATACTCCCAGACCAAAACACCACTCTGTAATCGTCTAAACTCGAATGTTCCACGTCTGTGGGGAGTGTAAATCTCTCTGTATGGATTCTACTCCGACTGATAACGAACGAGTTATTCGTACTCACGCAAAATCGGCCACTTGTTCGAGTCCTCCGGGTTCGTGTGAGTCTCCAGCAAGTTCCCTCGTAAATCGAATCTACACCACCCCAGCTTGCCGCAGACAAAGAAAAATTGATTCATCAGATGAACCCCGCACACTGGATCGTCGTTCGGCAGGGGATTATCGATAATAACGAATTCGCTGGTCAAAGTGTTCAACACGACGCTCTGTTCAAACGATTACGTTTAATTATGCCGAAGAACGTATTCTCTAAATTTGTTGGCGTCTCTGAGCACCTGGTTGTTGGTGGTAAACGCGGCGGCGTATCTGTTGTCGGGACTCAGGACTAGGTGTTGCATAATTCCCTGTACGCCGGGATTAACGTCCCTGGCCATGTCGCTGGTGCTCAGATCCCAAGTGATGAACCGATTGGATATCGAGACCACGTATCGATAGTCCGACGTTAGGCAAAACCCGAACACAGCGAATTGATGGCCCTCCAGCGAATACTGAAAGACAACGGGGCTAGAAACGTTTCGTCGTGAAGAGTTTGTCGTCGAATTACTTTCAAGGGTCCCCCGGGTGTGTGTAGACAGTGATAAACCGGAAGCAAAGCGCAATCCTTGGCGCCGTCGTTGTCGCACGCTCGAAGCAACATTTTCACGTTCACGTTGCCCCCTATTTCGGGCAGTAATCGCCCGATTAGCTGGGGGGCAAGCATGTCCGGGTGGGAGCCTAGAATCGCGCCACCCAACCTGAGCGCGTCAGCCACCAGCATCAATTCTCTGGAAAAGAACCCATTCGTTCCTCCACGATTAGCGGTAAAAAGGATCTTCAGAATCAACGATATCAACCTTTTGTTGTGAATTTGAATTTTTATACGAATGTGCAAAATTTGAACGAAGCCTATGAGAAGAAAAGTTAAAGAAGTAAGCTTGCTACCTAACGATGCTCTGGTTGTCGATGAAGGTGCACGCGTCCTCGAAATCGGCGAGCACCGCTTGCAACGGGCAAGAACGGAGCTTGGCGTGCAGCCATTGATAGTTAAAGAGGACGTTCTCGAAAAGATCGTTGAATCGTCGCGATCTGACCAGGTGGAACGGTAGTTCGCCGAACTGAAAAGTCATAAGCGAATCAACGAGCATAGTATGCGTTAGACATCATTGTTTACCTTTCTTAAATTGTATCTGGTGATGGTGGAATCTTTCGAGTAGAATGCCAGGGGTTGTTCGGGTACTTTCCTGTCCGCCACACCTTCCTTGTCTGCCAAGTTGAATCTGAGAAATTTGGTCTTATTACCTTATACTTCGAAGCTCTAGAGTACCCATTTAGGTCGCCTGTAACAATTTTTATTGTTCACCTGTGCCTTTGAATCTCAGTGTACTTGAACGGTTTGGGGCGTCCGCCTCCCCAAATGCCCAGATAGTAATCGGCAATCATCGAATGGAAGTACATGGCCATGTTCATGTTTTTGAAGTATCTTTCCTTGGCGGCGTCTCTGAATTGTCTGTGGTACCAGTTGAGGACACTGACCCCGTCTGCTTCCCTTTCGCTCAAATAGTTGGGCAAATCGTTTCGTATCCTCGTCCACAGCAAAGGTGGAATCCGCCTCACCGGTGGCAAATGATACTGGTACACGTCGTCCAGCACTTTGTCGTCCAACGAGATCAAATCCTCGAGCTCCGACTCCGACAAGCCCGACTTGGCGGCAGTGATGTACGCCAACGCGTGGAACACCAAAATCTTACCGTGTTGCTTCTCGATCCTTTCGAATAGCATCATTATACTGTCCATCACGGTGCTCGTTAAGTGAGTGTTCGCTGGTTTCGTGTAGCTTCTCCACCTGCAGATCTCCGCGAACACCAGCTTGACGAAAATCGGTAAAGAGCACTTTGATATTGCGTTAGCCACCAGACGCCATTGATAGTTGTTCAGGTCTCTGTGGGCCGTTTTCATCCACATCCTACGAAAATTATTTACTACTTTGTTCAACACCAAACCTACCATCTGATCGGTTTGTAAAAGAGTGGAAGAAATTTGGAAATTTCAGTTTCCAGTAAAACTTTAGACCCGTGCAGTTTCGAAGCTACTAATGCTTTATTCAAAATTGAGCCACTGTTAGAGGCGGCAAAGCCTCCCCTTTGAAATGGTTTTTGGTTTTTGACGATACGACTTTCCGTTTTCGAGATATCGTAATTTATGTGAAAGGTAGTTTTTCTAATTCGACTGTCTCTGTCTCCGTCTGACGCGTCGCGTTGGGCCTCTCTCTCGCGCGTGAGTCGTGACCTAGTTACTACGGTCACGTGCGTAGAGAGAGTTCATTGACCTCGCGACGTAAACAAACGCTTCGAACCCTTCTATCTCCGAAACTAGACACCGCATCGACTTGAAACTAAAATCCTCATATCTCCGGAACTAATTACGCTATCGACTCGTACAAACACTCATTTTAAAAGGCATTTCATCCCCTATCCAATGACTATACCAACTACTATAATTTACGCTCCCTTCTATGTTTATTTTGCAATTTACTTTGACGCTATACACGTAAAGAAGTTTCAAATTTAACGTTAAAACGTTCTCGGTGAATTTCCTATTATTTTTACCTTATTACATCCATGGCTAGATCCTCGCCGAGAGCAACCACCTCGATAAAGTTCTCCTCCGTGTCTATCATCCTGCGTAGCAACTGATAATCGCGAGAGATCACGGGATTCGATTTCTCCGCCGCGCAAGACAGCATCATCTAAAATTACCCAACGGTTTTCGGCACGTGTTTAGAATGCTTTTTCGCGGAATCTCGGATACCTTGCAGTTCGTCGGAAGTCTGGTGGGCAGCCACGACAATTTGTTTCCCTGCACCCCCGTCAGTTGGTCGACGCTGTCCAAGAATAACAAAATCGGTTGCTCTACCGTGGCCAAAGTCAGCAAATATTTAAAGTAAGCTGTCAGTGGCACCAGATCGTCGGGGATTTCTTCAAAGGGCAACATGAAGTTGTAGGAAATCTACACGCAGGGGAACGGCTTCTGTCATGTCGTCGTTCGACATTGTCATCCATTCGCGTACTTACTTGCTGACAAATGGATATCAGCGTAGGTGTCAGGGCACTGCTGTCTGGAGTGGTGCCAAGAAATCGGATTATGTTGATTGGTCTCTTCCCAGTGAGCCACGTACCGCTCGTGAGACCTGCACTTTTCGCTAATAAAGACGTCTTCCCGCATCCTCCTTCCCCGTACAAAACCAAAGGCTTGTCGCTGTTGCCCAGCATGTACTCCTTGATCGTCACCAGAGTGTCTTCTCGGCCATAAAACACCTGAATATTGTTTCACACATCGATGACAAGACCGTAGATTTTAGAAACGAAACGTTATCTCGTCCAGAGTGTCTGATAAGAATGTTCGAGCACGTCTACCTTGACGGAATTGTTGCAAGCGTGGAGATGCTGCAACATCTCTGTTATGATTTGACCCTGTGCAGAGCTGTCCTCTTTTCTCATAGCTCGGTCCACCAACTTCACTATGTTTCGATAAAAGTGCGTTATGAAGTGTTGGAGGTACTCGCTGTGCGTTTCTGGGTCTAAACCTTCCCGGCCAATCCACTCCACGGTGTATCTGAGTGAAATTAAAAAGAGAGCTCGCTGTATAAAATCGTAATTATCAAATGATCTTTTGATCTTATGTTTACTTTCAATACCTCTCCAAATTGGTACTTTCGATCTTGTCCGGTAGCCTCTCGTCCCTTAAATTCGCCAACAACTTGCAGGCCTCGTTGTCCAAGCTTCGATTCAGTATATCTATGAACAGACTAGCCTTTCTCAAATTCTGAAGATTGATATTGTTTATGTATCGTACGTACGCCAAACAGTGATTCTTCGTGTTTTTAACGTTCAAAACGCCATTGATTACTTCTCTCTCGGTAACTGTACACAAAAATAAGAATTAACGAGCGCAACCGGGCGTTTTCTTTTGGTTCGATGTATCATACCGGACATGAAATAATTATGCATCGTGTCTTTGTCGAATTTCCCCGAGTTGTACAATGACTGTGCTCCCTTTCTGAACAGTTTCTGCATTTTCACCATGGTGTCCCACCAAATGGCCTGATCCTCCTGCTGTAGCTTTGGTATTCTCTATGTAATGTATCAATTTAGTACGTTTTTTATTACAGTTGTTCTCAATCTGTATTTTCTTACTTTATTGTTAAAATTCTTCAGAATCGACGATATCGGTTGTAAAATACTCGTTGGTGGTACCGCGTTGCTATCCTTTTTGTACCATTTATCCAGAAGACTCACGTCCATTCCCTGAGCTTCCAAGTCGCTGTGCAGCATCTCCAATTCAGAGCTAAGCACGTATGTTGGAATAGGACGATACCCGTATTTCTGTCCTAGAAACACCTAAGAAATCAAGACTAAATGCACCTAGTTCTGCCATAAGCTCTGTTACAAGTACATTTAGTTATTTGAAAAAAGATAAAAAACATTACTTTTAGGGAATCAGGAAATATTTCGTAAAATTGATCTAACTTGTTGACTGTTTGAATATCTCTTTGTGCTCAAACTGCAACATTATTCCCCCTAGTTTAGTTTAATTTTATGTCATGTCGCCATCTTGCATTTCAAAATTGATACAATCTTCGTAATTAACGTCCCAAAAAACCTTCATAACGACACCCATACCGATATTTAGGCGTATTTACACCATTGCAACGGTTTAGTGATAAGATAATAATTACGTACTTGCATGTTAAATTTAAAATTTCTAGATCAATTTACAAATTTTTCAAATCGTTCTAAAAAAGTTATTTTTGTTTGCAGGGGTCAATTACAATCATTTTTGGTCATTACACATATCCCCGAAATCCTACGCACTTTCGAGAAAAAAATTCGAGAAGACGTGAAATTTTTCGACAAAATTAAAAAATTTCAAATCGATCTGGAAAAATTATTTTTAATTGCAAGGGTCAATTACAATCATTTTTGGTGAATAGACATACCCTCGAAATCCTACCCAGTTTCTAGAAAAAAAAATCGAGAATGTGTGAAATTTTTCGACGGAAAAAAAGTTTCAAATCGTTTTGGAAAAATTATTTTCAGTTGCAGGGGTCAATTACAATCATTTTTGGTGAATAGACATACCCTCGAAATCCTACCCACTTTCTAGAAAAAAAATCGAGAATGTGTGTAATTTTTTGACGGAAAAAAAGTTTCAAATCGTTTTGGAAAAATTATTTTCAATTGCAGGGGTCAATTACAATCATTTTTGGTGAATAGACATACCCCCGAAATCCTGCCTATTTACGAGAAAAAAATTCAGTAAGGGCGGAACTTTAAACGTTAATAACTTTTTAACGAAGCCTCAATCAACAAATTGTTATTCTTGATTTTCGTCTTATTTTGGCTCCTAGAATCCCCCATTAAAATTTTTCCCATTATAGAAGATAAGTGTTTTGATACATTAAAAATTTAATATTAAATCGCGTTCCACGTTATTAAAATAAATTTATCCATTTTTTACCACAAAATTCGGTCCCATCGAGAGTCTCTGACAATTTTCAATCTCCCTCATACAGAGTTCCGTGGTCATGTGATCGTCGGTGGCTTCATCCCTTACACCCCATCTCATATCAACCACCTGAAATTCCATCGTTCGTTGATTAATTCGTCAACGTTCGTATAGTTAAAATTAGAATTAAATTTAGAACGTGGAATGTAACGTGGGTGTTCGAACTTTGGAAAGTTTTATGCTCGTGTGCACGGATCGGTACCTGGCACGATGAAAATCAATTGTTCCTTCAAGGGCAGCTGGTTATGTTTACACAATACAGATTTTGGCAACCTTTACTACCTATATCTACTCTCACACGTTTTTTAAATATATATATAAAATCAATATCCATGAACGACGCATTTCCAATCTACTCAGAATTTTTTCGACTAATCACCTGAAATTCTAATCCGTGTTTCTCTCTGCAGTAGTCCTTCAGTTTAGGGTAACACTGAGCCATTAATGTGTTCCGTTCCATCGTCGTGTCTAGATCAAAGTGTTCCTTATTTTTTAATCATAAGATCAAAGCTCGCGGAGTTTAGCAAAGTTTTATTCTCGAACAACAAATAAAAACGTTAAATTCACGCAGGTATAAAAAATCGAAGATTTGCTTACCGGTGAAAGTCGAGCTGGTGAATATTCTCACAATTTTGGAGCTAACCGCTGGCAGGGACTTCAAAGATCCCGCGAATATCGAGTCGATGATTGCCTCGTCCATTTTTTCACCCTTTCAACGCGTATTATATTCTGAATTGTCTATCAATCCAACCGTCGAGTTACAATTGCATCAGGTTACTCGTAACATTGCAGGGACACTGCGATCGTCTCCAGAACTCCGTGAGCATTTATAGGGTGTGGATATATATTCGTGTGTCGCAAACATTTCCATGTATATTTCCAATTCCGCCGACGCTGAATCAAACGGCAAGTTCCACCGTACGTTTTCGATCACAAATTTAAACTCGCTTCGCGCGAACACCCAAGAGCAACGTTATCATCGAGAAATCGTTTAACGAATAATTAGAACTCGAGGTGGACGACAGTGGCGGTTGCCAGGGATTGTTTACGGAGCGTTGAGTGCACCTCATTGATTTTAAGAAAATCAGTATATCGTACATGGGTGCGTTTAAAAAGTTCCCAGACTTCTTTTTATCAATTCGAAAATTTAATTTTACAACGTTGGTCGTTTTTTCCAATTTAAGAATTATGTCCTCTCTCTAATGTAATAAATAGTATTAAAAAAGAATTTAATTCTCAAGCACGATGTACGCTTTTGAGGGGCCATTTTTACCAAAAGTCCCGGAAGCGTTTCAATGGCACTATTTTCAACAGAAAAAGAAATGAATTTCGCGAAATTCTGTGCAGGTTTACTGATGGACCGGACGTAGCAGGAATCGAGATTTTGATTAAACGGTCAAAATGGCACCACCGGATCCAGTGACGCAAATGAACACGTACCGGTCGTACGTGACTATGCTGGCCGATCCAGTTTCCAAAGACGAACTGAAACTGAAGGCCGCCCAAGAACTGTCAGAAAACTTCGAGGTACCGAGATTGAACAATCGTTTCGTTTCTATTCTCTCGAAAGGTGGGAGAAACCGATCCCCCGGTTTTCTTGTTCGCAGGTGATCATGTGCTCCTCGCAATACCCGGCGTTTCTCGATCACATGATGAAAATATTTTTAAAGATCCTCCAAGAAGGCGAGCCTCACTTCATATCGGAGTACAACATCCAACAAGTCCGGAAATTAATTTTAGAAATGATACACAGATTGCCAAGCAACGATTACCTACGACCGTACGTAAAACAGATATTGAGTCTAATGTCGAAGCTGTTGGAGACCGACAACGAGGAGAACGTGTTGGTCTGCTTGAGGATCATCATCGAGCTGCACAAACAGTACAAACCGACCTTCAATCCGGAGGTAAGTGACCAATCGTTCGATGACGTACGCGACGTCTCTGTACGGAAGGGGTGTACTATTCTGTTGTTGCTTTCGCTCGTAGATACAATATTTTCTGCAATTTGTGAAATCCGTGTACAGCGAGTTACCAAAGAATTTGCCAAAAATATTCGAGCCTCGTCCGCCGTTAAGGGTGAAAGACTTGTCGGAGATAAACATAGAAGCACTCTTGAAAGAGACATTCACGATCACAGCTATACAGAGCGAGAAGAAAGCAGCTGACGGTACTGTCGTAACAGTAAGCATCGAACCTGTTTCATTGTCTGCTACAGCAAAGTACTTAGAGACTAATGACAGAAAACGTGTTCTATTTCAGTACAATCTCATTCCTAAAGCAGTAATGTCCCTTAAAGTACTCCAGGAACTGCCGATCATCGTTGTACTCATGAACCAATTATACAAGCAAAACGTTCACCAAGACGTGTCAGACTTTATTCCTCTCGTGATCACTACGATAACGCTGCAACCGAGTCCACAGCACAGAGCTTCGCCTGGATTCAACAAGGAAGTGTTCGTCGATTTTATGGGGGCGCAGATCAAGACTCTGTCGTTCTTGGCGTACGTGATTAGAGTCTATCAGGACGTGGTGTCCCAGCACAGTTCCATATTGGTGAAAGGTATCCTGGGTCTGTTCACCCTGTGCCCCATGGAAGTGGCGCATCTACGCAAGGAGCTGGTGATCGCGTCCAGGCACATTCTCGCCACGGATCTAAGGAACAAGTTTATCCCGCACATGGAATGTTTCTTCGACGAGGACATATTCATAGGACGAGGCTGGACCACCCACGAGTCTCTCAGACCGCTGGCGTACTCGACCCTGGCCGACTTGGTCCACCACGTTCGATTGCTACTACCGTTGAGCGACGTTTCCAGAGCGGTACACCTGTACAGCAAGAACCTGCTGGACCAGAGCCTTCCAACAGCCGTTCAAATGGTCTCCTGCAAGCTGCTGATGAACCTGGTCGACACTGTGAGGCAGAGATCCGACGCGGAGAACAGCACCCAAGGCAGAGAGCTGCTGATGCGTATCTTGTTGGTGTTCGTGTTGAAGTTTAAGACGATCGCGAAGATCTACATACCGATATTGCGCAACAAGGCCAAGCAGCTGATGCCCCCCGGGTTGGACATCAAAACGGAGGACGCGAAGGCCGTGATACCGGACCTGAACGACGACAAGGAGATCGGAAAGTCGAAATTCGGTTTCCCGTCCTCGCAGGCGATGAGCTACAACGTGGCGGATTACAGGAACTTGGTGAAGAGTTTGGTGCACGGCGCGAAAGCCATCACGTCGAACTGCATAAACAGCAAGACCGGCGAGGCGACGCAGTCCAACCAGTTCCAATCCAAGGAGACGTTGGTGTACATCAAGCTGGTGAAATGGGCGCTGCCGGCGTTGGATATTTACACGATAGGTCCACCCACGATCGGTGCTGTCGCGCAGCCTGGCAGACCGGCCCAGTCTCAGACGATACGCACGCGAGAGGAAAAAGAGGTTCTGGAGTTGTTCGGGAACGTGTTCACGCAGATGAACCCGCAGACGTTCCAAGAGATATTTTCCACCTCGATCGACTACATGGTCGAGAGGATCTTCAAGAACTGCGCGCTGCAGATCATCGGTAGCGCGTTTCTGTCCAGCCACACGATATCGTCCACGTTCGCGACGATACTGGTGGAGTATCTGCTGGAAAGGATGGGCGACATGGGCTCGAACGTGGAGAGGAGCAACTTGTACTTGAGGCTGTTCAAACTCGTGTTTGGCAGCGTGTCCCTTTTCCCGGCTGAGAACGAGCACATGCTGCGCCCTCACTTGAATCAGATCGTGAATCGAGCCATAGAACTGGCCATGTCCGCGAAGGAACCGTACAATTATTTTCTGCTGTTGCGCGCCCTGTTCAGATCCATCGGCGGCGGTTCCCACGATCTCCTGTATCAGGAGTTTCTGCCGCTGCTCCCGAACATGTTGGAGGGTCTGAACAGGTTGCAATCCGGTTTGCACAGACAGCACATGAAGGATCTGTTCGTGGAACTGTGCCTGACGGTTCCGGTGAGGCTCAGCTCCCTTCTGCCTTATCTACCGATGCTGATGGACCCGCTGGTCTCCGCTCTGAACGGAAGCTACTGTCTGGTCAGCCAAGGATTGCGAACCCTCGAGTTGTGCGTGGACAACCTTCAACCCGATTTCCTCTACGAGCACATACAACCGGTCAGAGCGGACCTGATGCAGGCGCTGTGGCGGACCCTGCACAATCCCACCGATCAGGCTCACGTAGCGTTCAGGGTTCTGGGAAAGTTCGGCGGCGGGAACAGGAAGATGATGATAGAACCGCAAAAGTTGGAGTACAACGATCGCGAGACCAACTCGCCGGCCATCGTCGTCTACTTTCAGGAGCCCACCAAACCGATAGATTTCACGGTGGATAAGGTAATAGAGACCGCGTTCAACGCCCTCAAGTCGAACAACACCGACTCGTTCTATCGCAGACAGTGCTGGGAGGTGATAAGTTGCTACCTGGCAGCCTCGCTCCGACTGGACGACAACAACGCCGTTCTCTACAAGCTGTTCATGCATCCCAGCTTCAAGGAGGGCAAGATTCCTCATCAGCAAGGACCTCATTACAAGTGTCCCGACGCTGTCGCGAGAAACGTTCAGCAGACAGCTCTGACCGGCCTGTTCGTCGCCGCGGAGATCAAAGAGCTGAGACACTCGGTGCTGGGCACCGTGGTGTCGATCGTCAGGCATTACACGATGGTCGCGATAGCCCAGCAAGCTGGTCCTTTCTGTTTGACCGGGAGGCAAGTTCGCATGCAGGGTCAGGATCCTCTCGTTCTGATCGACGCTCTGGCCGTCATTATGGGCCACGAGGAAAAGGAACTGTACAAATCCGGCCACCTGGCTCTGGTTCTGATCCTCGAAACCGCCACCAATATTCTGGGCTCGAAGGAACGGGCCTGCCAGTTGCCACTGATGGAGTACCTGGCTGAAAAGATGTGCTCCCTTTGCTACGAGCGCGCTTGGTACGCGAAGCTGGGCGGCTGCATAGCCATCAAGTTCTTGTTCGAGAGAATGGCCACGAAGTGGGTGCTGAATCACCTGTTCGTCTTTTTGAAAGCGCTGATGTTCGTGATGATGGACCTGACCGAGGAGGTGTCCAACGGCGCCATAGACATGGCTAAAGCCAATTTGGAAAAGATGCTGAGAGTATGCGTGAATCCTGGTATACAAGATGGGAACACGGAACTGATAGAGGCGCAGAACAAGAGCCTGTACGAGGTGACGCATGAATTGGTGCGACAGGTGACGTCGCCGCACACGATGGTAAGGGAACAAGCTATGGCGTCGTTGCGACTGCTCGCTGAGATACAAAACAAAACCGTGACGGAGGTGATGGAGCCACACAAGGAGGTTCTGGCGGATATGATTCCACCCAAGAAGCACCTGCTCCGACACCAACCGGCGAACGCTCAGATCGGTCTGATGGATGGGAACACGTTCTGCACCACGTTGAATCCGCGTCTTTTCACCATCGATTTAACCGTCATGGAGCACAAAGTGTTCTTCCAGGAGCTGCTGGCGCTCAGCGAGGCGGAGGACGCAAATCTGAACAAACTGCCTTGCTACAAGTCCGTCTCCAATCTGATTCCTCTGAGGAAGTCGGCGTTAAAGGCGCTCGCTGCCTGCCACTACATAATCGCCTGCCGCGAAAAGATCTTCGGCGTTCTTTACAAAGCGCTGGAGAAACCGAACGCGGAGCTGCAGGAGGCTGCTTTCGAGTGCATGCAGAAATTCATCGCCGGTTTCCAGATCGACATGGAGTCCGTTCACGCGATAATGCGACCGATGCTACTGACTCTTGGCGATCACAGGAACCTGAGTCTCAATTGCGTCAAGCGGCTGTCGTATTTGACGCAGCTGTTCCCCAGCACCTTCAGCATCACGCTCTGCGAACAGCTGCTCCAACACTTGAAGAAACTGTTGGAGAATCTGATACAGGCGCACAAAGGTATATCCAAGTCGGGAGAGAACGAGCAGAAGATAGCAACCATCATAGGAATCTTTCATGAAATTCCCGCTGCCACTCCGAAGTTCATCGATGTTCTGTGCAGGCTCGTTTTGCAGACGGAGAAGTCGTTGATGGTCGAGGTGTCCAGCCCGTTTCGTATTCCCCTGATGAAATTCCTGTTACGATACCCGACGGAGACCTTGAATTTGTTCTTGCATGACAATAACATCAAGGATCAGCAATGGAGCAGGTACTTGGAGTTCCTTGTGAAGCAAAAGGACGGGAAACCGTTTCGCGACGTGCTGCACAACAGCACGGCGAGGCTGATCACGATGCTGCTCGCCCATTCGCAAACGAACTCGAATTTGACTCACACGGACAAGAGCGAGCTACAGCATCAGGCTATTAAAATTATCGCCATACTGATCAAGTACGACGATCAATGGTTGTCGACCCAGAGTCAATTGGTGGGCGCGCTGAAACAGATCTGGTGCAACGACGAGTACCAGGCGTTGCACAAGAAAGTCGAAAGCGTGGATTATTGTCACTGGAAGGAGCCCAAGTTGATCGTTAAGATTCTGTTGCATTATTTCCGGCATCATCCGAACGACATCGATTTGCTTTTCCAGCTGCTCAGGGCGACCTGCGACAGATTCATACCCGATTTTCAGTTCCTGCGAGACTTCCTGGAGCACACTGTGGCGCAGGAGTACACGGTCGAGTGGAAACGAAGCGCCTTCTTCAGGTTCGTCGATCACTTCCCCACGAACAACCTGTCCCAAGAGCTGAAGGCCAACGTGCTGCAACTGATCGTCATTCCCTGTTTCGCTGTGAGCTTCGAGAGAGGCGAGGGCATGAAACTAGTCGGAGGCGCGCCGATGCCATATCAGGATAACCCAGAGAACGTCGTCTCGGTGTTCATCAGCAAGATCATCGATCCCGATAATCCATTCGGTTCCGCCGATTGCGTTCGTATCTCTCTGCTCCAGTTCTCGTGTCTGTTGGTGGAGCAAGCCTCCCAGCACATCCACGACGTCACCAACAAAAGACAAGGCAACAAGTTACGCAGACTGATGACGTTCGCGTGGCCCTGTCTGTTGGGCAAGAATTGCGTCGATCCCACGACGAGGTACCACGGTCACTTGCTCCTCAGTCACATAATCGCCAAGTTCGCCATTCACAAGAGGATAGTCCTCCAAGTGTTCCACAGCCTGTTGAAGGCCCACGCGTTGGACGCGAGGAACGTGGTGAGGCAAGCGTTGGAGATTTTAACGCCCGCCATGCCCGTAAGAATGGAGGACGGCAATACGATGCTGACGCATTGGACCAAGAAGATCATCGTGGAGGAAGGACATTCCATGCAACAATTGTTTCACATTCTCCAACTGGTGGTCAGACACTACAAAGTGTACTACCCGGTGAGGCACCATTTGGTCCAGCATATAGTGAACTCGATCCAGAGATTGGGATTCAGTCCGACTGCTACGATCGAGCACAGAAGATTGGCCGTCGAGTTAGCGGAGGTGATCATCAAGTGGGAATTGCACAGGATCAAAGACGAGGCCGAGAGTTCGGATTCCGGTGGGAACAGAACAACGTTGGGGTCCATGAAACGACCCATAAACGACGATCCCACGGGGACCAAACGCATGGCGACCCAGGCGGTCGCAGGCAACGCCGCGATACCTGTGATCTTGCCCAGGATAGAACCAGGATCAACGAAGCCCATCGAGAGGGCGCACGCCGACGCTATCTTGAACTTCTTGCTTCGTCTGGCTTGTCAGGTAAACGATGTCACGACGATTCACGGGAATCCCGGCGAACAGCTGTCCAGACGTTGCGTGGCTTTGTTAAAAATGGCTCTGAAGCCTGACGTCTGGCCCCAGTCGTGCGACCTCAAGCTTGCTTGGCTGGACAAGGTGCTCGCCAGCGTGGACAGCGCTCAGCCCAATTATGGCAACATCTGTACAGCTTTGGAGGTGCTGACGTTCCTCTTGGGCGTGATGAAGAGGGAGCAGATATTGGCGAGCTTCAAACCTTTGCAGCGTGGCATAGGCGCCTGCATCGCGAGCAGCAACACCAAAGTCATTCGACTGGTCCACGGACTGTTGTCGCGATTGATGACCATCTTTCCAGCCGAACCGACCTCCTCCACCGTTGCCTCCAAGTACGAGGAACTGGACACACTGTACACCACCGTTGGTAAATTCGTGGTGGACGGTTTGGCAACGTACGAGAAGGACACCGCGGCTACTCCCAGCACGTTATTCGGCACGTTGATGATGTTGAAGGCTGCCTGCACGAACAATCAAAGTTACATCGATCGACTCATAACACCGTTCATGAGAGTTTTGCATAGGATGGCCAAGGATCATCTGCAGTCGACTCAAACGGAGGCCAATCCGGTCGGCAGCGAGTTGCTGATCTTGAGCTTGGATCTCGTGAAGAATCGGGTGGTGGTGATGGGCGTGGAGATGCGAAAGTCGTTCATCGGTTCGATCCTGGTCGGTCTGATCGAGAAAACGCAGGACATAAAGGTGATGAAGGCGATCACGAAGATGCTCGAGGAATGGATGAAGAACAAGAACCCTATCGCGATGAACCAGGCGCCCAGCCTGCGGGAAAAGTCGATTCTGTTGGTGAAAATGATGCAATACGTGGAGAAACGTTTCCCGGACGATTTAGAGTTGAACAGGCAATTCTTGGAGCTGGTTAATTTCATTTACAGGGACGAAACGCTGAAATCGTCCGAGCTGACGTCCAAGCTGGAGCCAGCGTTCCTGTCGGGTCTGCGATGCGTCCAGCCTCAGATCCGTGCGAAATTCTTCGAGGTGTTCGACGGGTCCATGAGGCGGCGGCTTCACGACAGACTCTTGTATATTATTTGCAGCCAGAGCTGGGACGCGATCGGTCCACATTACTGGATCAAGCAGTGCATCGAGTTGCTCCTGGTCACGGCGAACTCGTCCACTCAGATCCAGATGTCCAACCAGGACACGTTGTTGCCCAGCGTGACGTCCGTGATCAACATGGCGGACAGCGAGGAGCACAAGAACTTCATGATATACAGTTCCATCAAGGAGGAGCCTCAAGACATCTCGGACGCGGTGGACGTGAAGGACGAGCTTCTGGATATGGACCTGTCCAACGTGGACTCGACCATCGTCCCGGACGAGATCGCCAACGCCGGGAAGGCGACGTTGACGCAGCTGATCGCTAAGCAAGGCGAATTCATCGATTACGCGAAGAAGATAAGGACGGAGCAACTGTTGCTGGCCGCGGCGCAACTTTGTCACATGGACACCAACTTGGCGGAACGTGTTTGGCTGGACACGTTCCCCAGGATATGGGGCATCCTGGACGAGCATCAGCACAACACTCTGATCGCCGAGGTGGTACCTTTCATTTGCAGCGGCACCCACGTCATTCAGAAAGACTGCCACCCGAGCGCCATTGCTACCTTCGTCGAGGCGATATCACACTGCAATCCCCCGGTGCCCATGCGACCAGCTCTGATGAAGTATCTGGGCAGATCGCACAACCTCTGGCACAGAATGACCCTGAGCCTTGAACAGATGGCGTTCGACAATGGGAACAACCAATTCAAGATCAAGAGGGAGTCGGACTGCTACGACTTCGAGCCCGACAATAGCCCTCATGCTGAGATTTTGGACTCGTTGTCGGACATGTACTCGCTGCTGTGCGAGGAGGACATGTGGTCCGGCCTCTGGCAGAAACACGCTCATTACAAAGAAACCCTACAGGCGACCGCCCTCGAGCAGCAGGGATTCTTCGAGCAAGCTCAAGGAGCCTACGACGTGGCGATGACTAAATTCAAGCAGGACTACGTGTCCACCCCGGCTCCTTTCAAGATACAACGGGAAGCAATGCTCTGGGAGCAACATTGGATAAGATGCGCGAAGGAATTGAATCAATGGGACCTGTTACTGGACTATGGTAGCAAGAAGGCGGAGAAGAATCCGTTTTTAATTTTAGAGAGCTCTTGGCGCATACCCAATTGGACGATGATGAAGGAGGCTCTCGCCCAGGTGGAGCACAATTGCCCAAAGGAAATGGCTTGGAAGGTACAATAAACAGTTGATTTTAGTTGCTTCTTAAATTATCTACATATGTTTCTGATCAATTGTATCTTCGTAGGTAAATTTGTATCGTGGTTTCCTGGCGATATGCAACAGCGAGGATCAACACTTGAGCACGGTGGAACGATACGTGGAGCTCGCCTCCGGTCTCTGCATGCGCGAGTGGCGTAGGTTGCCACATATAGTGAGTCACGTGCACTTACCGCTGCTTCAAGCCGCTCAACAGATCATGGAGCTGCAAGAAGCGATGCAGATCCATCAGGGATTGTTGCATGGTAGAAGCACGTCGTTGCACGATATGAAGGCGATCGTGAAAACCTGGAGGAATCGGCTGCCCGTGATAGCCGACGACCTGAGTCACTGGTCGGACATATTCACCTGGCGGCAGCACCATTACACGTTCATCTCGAGCCATTACGATTCGCAGCAGGATCAGACGACCAACCATTCGATGCTCGGCGTGCACGCGTCCGTCCAGGCGATCATTCACTTTGGTAAAATAGCCAGAAAGCACAATCTTTGCGGCGTGTGTTTGGACTCTTTGTCGAGGATCTACACGATACCTAGCGTCCCTATCGTCGACTGCTTCCAAAAGATCCGACAGCAGGTGAAATGTTACCTCCAAATGGCTTCCGTTAGCGGGAAGAACGAGCTACAGGAAGGCTTGGAAGTGATCGAGTCGACGAACCTTCGATACTTCACGAAGGAGATGACTGCCGAGTTCTATGCGTTGAAAGGAATGCTGTTGTCGCAAATCGGTCGATCCGACGACGCGAATAAAGCCTTCTCCGCTGCCGTTCAGCTGCACGACACTTTGGTGAAAGCCTGGGCCCTGTGGGGCGATTACTTGGAGCATATATTCACGCGGGACGCGCGTCAGATATCCATCGGGATCTCGGCGATCACCTGCTTTCTTCACGCCTGTAGGCATCAAAACGAGTCCAAGTCCAGAAAGTACTTGGCGAAAGTCTTGTGGTTGCTCACGTACGACGACGACAAGTTCTCTCTGATGGAGGCTGTGGACAAATACGCGGTGGGAGTTCCTCCGATTCAGTGGCTACCCTGGATACCTCAACTGTTGATGTGTTTGGTTCGACATGAGGGCAACGTTATCTTGAATCTACTGAGCCAAGTCGGAAGGGTGTTCCCCCAGGCGGTTTACTTTTCTATTAGAACTCTGTACCTTACCCTGAAGATCGAGCAACGCGAGAGGTATAAAAGCGCTGAGTTAGCCGCGGGGAAGAACCAGGAGGGCGTCGAGGGACGTGGAACTGCGGGGAATGTACAGCAACAAGGAGTACCTGAAACGGGGCCAATTCGAGCCACACCGCCGATGTGGAGATGCTCGAAGATCATGCACATGCAAAGGGACATTCATCCTACGATTCTGTCTAGCTTGGAGGGCATTGTAGATCAGGTTAGGTCGGATTAGTTGGTAGTCGCGTTGTTATTTATTACCAAAATTGAATTAATAAATTTTGTAGATGGTATGGTTCCGCGAAACGTGGTACGAGGAGGTTCTGAGGCAGCTCAGGCAAGGTCTGGCCAAGTGTTACGCGATAGCGTTCGAGAACCGTGGTGCCGTGAGCGAAGCTACCATTACCCCCCACACGCTGAACTTCGTTAAGAAGCTGGTCTCGACCTTCGGAATTGGAATCGGTAAGGCAGGCGTCCGGATCTCTAAAATTTTCCGAACGAAATAAATTGTCAAGAACGATTTCTATAAATCGTAGAAAACATATCCTCGTCTCAAAACGTGAACAACACATTTGGCTCAGCGGCTTCAGAATCCTTGGCGCGCAGGGCACAAGCTACCGTCCAAGATCCCGTTTTCCAGAAGATGAAAGGTCAATTCACCAGCGACTTCGATTTTACCGTCCCCGGGGCAAGGTTGCTTCACAATTTGATCAGCAAGCTCAAGAAGTGGATCAAGATCCTCGAAGGGAAGACGAAACAGTTACCAAAGTAAGTATAGTTCTACAAAAGCTAACGTTTGCTTCTGAACAATGGTCGATCAACGAACAATTCTCAACAGATCGTTTCTGATCGAGGAGAAGTGCCGGTTCCTGAGTAACTTCAGTCTGAAAACTGCCGAGGTCGAGCTTCCCGGTGAATTCTTGTTGCCCAAGCATTCTCACTACTACGTGAGGATAGCCAGGTTCATGCCAAGGGTCGAAGTCGTTCAACGACACAACACCGCCGCCAGGAGGCTACGTATTCGCGGTCACAACGGTCGCCTCTATCCTTATTTAGTGGTGAACGACGCAGGGCTGGGGGACGCGAGACGCGAAGAACGCGTTCTCCAGTTGCTGCGTATGTTGAATCACTACCTGGCCAAACAGAAAGAAACCTCCAGGAGGTTCTTGCACTTCACCGTGCCTCGCGTGGTCGCGGTCTCGCCGCAGATGCGACTCGTCGAAGACAATCCCGCGTCGGTCTCTTTGCTGGACATTTACAAACAAGGCTGTGCGAAATTAGGAATAGAACACGACGCGCCAATAGCTAGGTACTACGACAGATTGGCGACGGTGCAAGCTAGGGGCGCGCAAGCGAGTCATCAAGTCTTGAGGGACATTCTGAAAGAGGTGCAAACGACCATGGTTGCCAGGACTATGCTCAAGGATTGGGCGATTAAAACATTCCCGGGTGCCACTGATTATTGGACTTTCAGAAAAATGGTAATATTATACGCGACGATGAATCAAAGTATAATATCGGGTACCTAAATATTCCAACGTGTTTTCGTGTTACAGTTTACTTTGCAATTATCTCTGGCTTGTTTCGCGGAGTACGTACTTCACCTGACAAGATTAAACCCGGATATGATGTACGTGCACCAGGACTCGGGTCTCATCAACATTGCTTACTTCAAGTTCGACGTTGACGACACGTCGGGCGAGCTGGACGCCAACAGGCCAGTTCCATTCCGTCTGACTCCGAATATTCTCGAGTTCCTCACAAGTACAGGTTCGTAAAATGTGCAAGAAGCAATCTCGTTCGATGCAATACTGAAATAAACTCACCTGGTGCAGGTGTCTCCGGGCCGTTGACTGCCAGTGCCATCGCCACTGCACGTTGTTTGGTGCAACCGTCGTTCAAAGTGCACACGATATTACGCGCCATCTTACGGGACGAAGTAATCGCAGATCATAACAAGAAGCAAGAGGACGCGGAGAATGCATCTCAAGCCCCGACGGACATGAAGGGTGAACTTTTAATAACGATGGTAAGTCGCGCGGTCACAGCTATCGTCGCGAGGCTGAACTCTTTGGCAAACTTTGACGGGACTGACAGCAAGGTCAGTACGCTGGTCGCTGCAGCCAACAGCCACGACAATCTGTGCAGAATGGATCCATCTTGGCATCCGTGGTTGTAAATGCGTTCTCCAACGGGCCTAATTGTGCTTCCAGTCTTCAACAAATACGGAAGAATATCGGCGAGCGTAGATGTTTCTCGCGGTATCTGTGCAAAATCTGTATTATTTCTATTAATTTGGATTTCATGCGAGAAACATCTACGTCCATTGGTATTCCTCGTCCTTCGGATCTCTTGATTTGTACGGTTTTCTTTTAAAATTCATTGCTTTTTTTTTTTTGTAATTTCAGTCGCAAAAATACTATATTTCATGTAAATATTACGTAGGAGCGGTAAGGAATCACTTACAAGACACATTTTTAGTTGTGGCGGACAAAATGGTTTGACTGTATTCTTACATCGACTTTATGTCAGTCATTTATCCGCGTACAACATGTTTATATAATGTAAAAATTCTCGTCTCGGGAATACTCCATGTATCATTTACTGTACATAATTTTAAATGTAAGAGTTATTTATAGATCTGTTTATAAATTTAAAACAAGAAATAAAACCTCTGAAACAATTACCCCTTCTCCGATCCTGCTGCAAGCTTGAACAAAAAAAAAATGAAAGGTACACAAAACGAAAAAATTAAATTGTATTAAATTCGTATATTTTAAAATAATTATATAATCGATGTCTATTATTTGTAATTGTTCGTTTCTATGAATCGTCCGAAAGAGCAGTCTGCTTAAAAAATATTATCAGCGCTACTTCGTGGGTTTCAGAGTGATATTTCGCAGCATGCACAGATCACGCGCTGTCGCTTTCCGTCCAACTGCTGTCTGAATATCGTAAAATCTTAACAGAATATCAGTCGTGAACAATTCAGGCAGTGCTTTTAGAAGGCAAGGAACCTAAAATTCAGCCACAAAAGTGAAAACCTGATTCTTCATCCATTGCGTACGTAGTAACTGAAATTACAACCCACCAATGTCTGTGGCATCCCTTGCAATACGATACGGGTTCTGTCTTTCCCGCATTGTACCATAAGACGCAAAAATTGAAGTATAAAATGTGTTTGCTGGGACACTTCGCCGTCTCTGCCGGCGAGGAACGTGAATATCGTGAACAATCCGTTTAACGCTGACAACAGGGGATCCCTCAATACGATCGATTTTTGTCCGTTGGTCGGTCCCTGAGCTTGCGGACTTTGCGAACCAAAAATGGGGTTAGAATCACCCGACTCGTTTAATCGAAGGATCTTATTCGCTGGCACCCCAAGAGCATCGAGTTCATCGGCATCTAAGTCACGACGCCCGCGTTTTCTGCTACTTCCACGATACGGGTTCGAATTGTTGTATTCTAACGTAGAAAATATACAGTACACGCACAGTTTCGCTAAAACCGAGGACTGTGGCTCAACGAGTTCTTCGCTTCTACAATAAATACGAAAAAAATATATTACGATATAAGATTCGAGGTTAAAAATCGACAGTAAATTATCACCAGTTTAAACGAATAGAACTTACTGTAAGGAGTTATATAAATATTGTGGAATGATATGATTTATGAGATCTAAGGTACAGTTCTCGATATCAAGATGAAAAATGGCGAATGCAAGGTCTACGGCTTGGTCCAGCTCCTGCTGGTAACGATACTTTAACACCTCTTTCACTATGTTCGAAACGAACCACAGCGAGCCACCGGTATTTAATAAAGATTCTAAAGACTGTGTCGCTTGGATATTTATCCACCCCCGTTGATTGACGTTCTTCCACACGGCCTCCAATTGCTCCAATATAGGTTGTCTCGATATAATGCTAAGAAAAATAAAAACTGTCCACGGAACCGACGCGAATTCAGTATTGTACGAGTAAAAGCAGATTACATACCTGTGGGACATCGAAAGCACCTTAGTTTTCGATTGAGTGGGAGGATGAACATCGTACTGCATTTTGCGAATGATTTGAGACATTAAGCTAGACCTAACAGTGAAACGTTCTGCTTTAATTTAACAGACTTAAAGCTATTTGTCGATATACTAACCGTTCCTTGAGATTGTCCTGCATTTCATCCCCGGGCAATGGCGTTAAAAAATGTTGCACCATGTTCATAGGTTTCAAGAGGGCATCCTGATGCGTGATGCTCATGTACGCGCATAGCCAGGCTGCTGCGCAAACTGGTAAACAGCACGCAGTCGCGCGCAGACCGTCTAAAGCTCTCTTAACGTCGCCAGCTCCCAGTACGTCGCTTTCCCACGCGCAAAGAAGCTCTTTCACGACCCCCATAGCCGACTGACAGGCGATGTGCCATTTTATATTACTAGATTTAAAGTCAGGATCCGGGGAATTGATTTGCGCAAGCAACGCGTCCACCCTGGCAGGGTCAATGTTTTGCAACATCTTTTGGGGCGACTTTGGTTGGTTCCGTTCCGGCATACATTCGCGTACCCATTGTTCAAAGAAGGAATCTCCTCCTCCTTCCTCTAAAACAGCCTGTAAAATAGCATCCGTTCGATTACACTGTAACCAGCTTATTGCAGCCACAGAAATCTGAACTGTGTCATGTAATTGTGTTTTTAACTTACATCAGATCCATACGTTTGCACTATGGAGCACAGCATGAGGAACGATACGTCGAATAGCATTGCTCTGGTCGCGGCAGTCTTTGGTGGGACAGGTTCGTTATTCTGCTTGCTGCATTCGTTGAATTTGATCAGTTTCGTAACGAAGGTTTTCAGTTTACCTTCCACGGTCGCCACGGCCAACATCAGCTCGAAACTGTTCCCGGTTAACACCTGGTGCAGCATGCTCAACAGCGCCTCGTGGATCTTTGTGTAATCGGCGTTGAGCGTTTTTAAAATCCCGGATAACGTGGGCTCTGCGCGCACGATTACCTTTGGAATAGAGGGTGTGGACGTAGAGGACTCCAACTTTTGTAAAGTTGCTGTGACACCCTCTCTGAATTAAAATAGAAACGAAAATGAAACCGATGCATTTCCACGCTCTTACGTTACCTTTTGCTACCTATTTTTCTTACCTTCTACTGCTCAATTGTTTGGCCTGTTTCTCCGTGACTAAGTTCACTTTTTGCAACGCGTTCAGTAAACACTCGACACTGTTGCAAGAACACGCGGTGTCCATTATGTCGAGAAGCGGTGTAAATTGGAGTAGAAGTTCGAACGCATCTAAAATATCTTGAGAATACTCCGATTTATCATCGCCTATCGAGACACATATCGATAGACATTAATTTTTATATCGCGTACTCGTATTATTAACCCTTTGATGAATACGTCCGGGTTAAATCATGCTGGATAATACATGGACGTACGTGTACGGTTAATGTTAAATTATTGCTGTCTAGAAAATTTACTCGCCAAAGGGTTAATATAAACAAAAATAGTATTACAATTTATCACCTACCGTTCGAATGTGCAACATGCAGTTCCTTTAAAATAAGAGGTACTTTCAAAAACGTGAAAGCACCCCACTGTGACTCTTTGAACGTGCCTGTAACGTTGTGCAGGCACATTAAACACGCACGAATTATTTCACAGTACAACCTCGCGTTCGTGTAATTCTTAAGTCTTTGGACCATTAACAACTGATTAACAAACACGGCCGTCTCTGTACTAGGATTTAATAACACTTGGACCGCGAACAATGGCTGCAGGCAGTGAGTTATGGACTCCATTTGCGTCATTTCAAAAGAAAGAGCTAAACATTCGATCTCTAAATTGCACAGCTTTTTAAGAGACTCCTCGATCGGCACAGAAGACTTTAAACTGCTAGTTTTCAGTAGAGCCTCGATTTCTTGACATTTCTTCACAACATCTATGTACAAATCTGAAAACACAGTTTCAATATTGAGCATACTAACAGGAGAATTATGATGTATGTAAAATATTTCGTTTGTAGTCACCTTTGTCATCGTATTTGGCTAAGTACATCATAGCGCAAAGAAAATCTGAACTAAGCATCTGTTTCAATATACTGGCAGGTTTATCCATCAGTTCTGTCGGTTGTGGTGTTAGTGGACTGTTTTGAGGCATTTTTGTTAAAGTATGCAGATAACACTGCAACAGCCAATGCACAATAGATAACACTGCAGCTGCCAGGAGATCCTCTTCTGATTTACCACGACAGGTTATACCTATTTGAATAGATTCTAGAAATTCTAGTAGACTTAAAATACAATGGGGCTTGTGAAAGGCATCGTATTTGCTTATCCGTTGCAATACAGCAGCATAGGAGACCAACTGAAAGTAGATTCAGAAATTGTAGATGCCAAGTTGATAGTAAACAATTACAAATTTATACGTACCTGTGAACTTAAAGAATGTTTCAAGTAAGAGAGTACTAACTGATTTGGACCAAGTCCAACTAATGCTTGTTGTAATATACAGTCTGCTAAATTATATACATCTCCGCTAACACCTCTTGGTAAAATCTGAAAGGTCGAACGATAGTATGTAGATAAATAATGCAATAATTATATTTATATATAATTATTTGTACCGCAAGTATTGCTTACTGTTTTAATATTAATACCCCATTGTAAATCACTCCAGCGTTCTCTCCATGCTCGTAGCAAAAGAGCTTTTAAACTGCTGGTTTTACTAGTTACTTTAGTCTCCATAGCTGATGTTAGAAGATTACACATAATTTCTCCTACATAAGTAACGTCTGTAACATCGTAAATTATCGTAAAGAAGTATATAACGAACTGGATTGATCACTGAATTACTTCTCAATAATTGAACTAATTATACGCGAAACATTTAATATTAGAATATATAACCTTATAAGTATAGACAAAACGCGGCAGTCTCTGTTCGATTAGAAGTTAAAGTTGAAAACTAATTTTCTAATTTTCCTGCCGACGCTGCTATTCTGCCTACCTCATTTCATAAAATTTAATTATTTAATAAATTACTACAACTGGCATATTTTAAATTGGTTTTCCGGTCGTAACCTTCTCACAACCGCCATGATCAACGCCATGGTGTGACTGTAGTGGCTATTTGAGCGGCGACGCGATTCGGCATCGTAAAACGCATGATCGATACAAGTTTAGCGTATAGTTTCTCATAATTTTATAAACGTCAAAATTACAAAAATGTTTGTCAAGACTCGATCAGGTTCATTTCATCAAAATTTTTCGTAACCCTCAACGAAGACATTCACGAATGTTCGTTTTCTCGTATGTCCCGTAACACGAATGTCTTGTCTTTTCGAATAACTGAAAATTTACAAAGCTCGATGAATTGTAACATTATATAACAATTTGAATCTCCGAAAGGTTAAGTAAAACCCTTCCACTTGCAATTTTCTTTGTTTTAACATTTACGTTCGAATTAAAAAATTGTTTGCTGTCTAATTAAAGTTCGTATCGTATTATAACCATAGCACCATTTTTGGTAAACAAAATGGGGGTGTGCTCAAGAAGAACAGCCGTACTTCGTGGATCCTCTCTTTTCGCATGGCAAGGATGGAATTTCTTAGTCTTTATTGGAATCCTCACAGCAATCGGATTAGTCTACTATAATTATATACATGTAGGTATTCGTAACAAAGCAACCAAAGAAATAAACATAATCTGTATGTTTTTGTTCGTGTAACGCCACCGCTCCTTTAGAAGCCGTTCAATGACCTACAACAGTATCGATTTGAGATCCGTAAAATGAATTTATTTCCTTTTACCTTCCAATTTTTTTTTTTTAAATTGAACGAACGACGATCGAAAATGAAAATTTCTTACGTTGACCGATATGTTATAGAAATCCGAGACCCAATGACGACATAAATTCCAGTATACCTGACCCTTCTCGAAGTCAAAAGGAAAGGGAAAAAGGTCTACGACCTAATGCATATTACGATGGGACTTCCGAGGTACGGATTCCAGAATAATTTTAAACTAAAAATAAACTAAACTCTGTAACGAGATATGATTCATAGCATTGCAAACATTAAAAATGACAACTTTTTTCGAAAGTGGTTAAATTTTGAAAAGTCAATTAGTAGGGATACTTTGGGTAAATAAACTGTGACTCATCGATGTGGACAGAATATGTTGTGCAGTTCCAACCAGCCGATATCGATCAGTCTGATGCAATATCAAGGACTACAAACATAATTTCGTATTTAACATTCTGCGCATCTATTTTAACTCTCGTATAAAATTCGCGTTTATTACAATCAGCTTTTACGTCATCGATCATCGAATTCGAAAGCATGAACAATCATCAGCTTCTGACGTAATCTCGAAATCAAATAAAAAATATCGGTCCAACAGTTCGTAAATATTTCATCATTTCCAAAGTAACTTAAACTAAATGAAAGATAATGAGTCTTTATCATTTGCTGAATAAGTAAATACGATACAAATTATGCCCTGCAGGAAGGCTCAGTTCCTATTTCTTATTAAGTTCATTTAAGGTAAAAAATTTTGTCACATCATCTTCGTTTAATAACGTCGATCGGTTTAGAGTCCAAGTGGCTCAAATGTAAAAAATCAATCCCGAGGTGTTCGTGTTCGAGTTTAAATTATTTAAAAGTGCGGCTTTGGTATAGTTCTTTAACGCTAATACGGTTTACTGAGAGAATGGCCAGTAACGGACGACTCGAATCTCGACGAATCGACCTATCGCTGCACGTAGACTGCGCTGAGCCAATCGTTCTGCTCGCAGACTCATGCGCCGAAATGACGCGTTCAGTGCCACGCTGGCAGTCCAATTGACGATAGTTGCGTGTACCTCGGTAAAAAAACAATCGTCCGTCTACGGTGCACCGCGGGTATTGTGGCGCAACATTTCTATTTCTCGGTACAATCGTTGCCCCGCGATGCTTAAAAAGTGAACCCTCGAAAAATGCTCGAGTGAACAGGTAGGAATTCGAAAACCGGTTTCTCTCTCCCTCTCTCCCTCTCTCTATCCTTGTTTTCGCGTAGTGCATGAAGCACAGGGTGGGGCGAGGTGGCTAAACGTCCGTCTGTCCGTGACGAGTTCTTTTCGTGTGCATTAGTCGACTGGCGTACCGTATCGTGTCGAGGTGCAACGTCGGTGCAGTGGGCAGTGTTTTTTTTTAATGGAAGCGTAGTGGTCGACGGTGTGCGCGTAGTGTCCACGCCTGTCACGGTGATTAACCTGATCGCTGATTACCAAGCATCGGGATGTCGACGTCGGATATGAACCTGATGGACTTGCTCTTCCCGCGTGAAGACTCGTTCCTGAAAGGCGACATTAAGGACGAGCCTTTCATAGACCAAAGCTACAACGACGACGCCATCACGGTGAGTTTCTAATACGCGCTCGCCGGACTTTACACTTATTTCTATCCCTTTATCCTCGCGATACGCTCCTTTGCGGGTACGCGTGATAAAGGCACATACCTCGACGACCTTCGTGAACTATGAACCTGGCGCCTCTTGCGCCAAAACATCGAGGCAAACGATCGAGCAAACGCGCTTACTAATACGCACGGTTTTCAAAGTTCCGGGAACTTTGTTCAGATATTTCCTTTATGTAACGAAAAGGGGGACACAGCTATCCCGTATCTGCTTTGCGTTTGATTCGATTCCCATAAAAGATAGAGAGCATAGACTAAGAAAGTTGACCTCTGTCGCAGTTATCTGCGAATGCTAATACTGGGAATGATTCTCAAAGCTGACGAAAAGGAATATCGCGAACGTAGAAAGATCGACGCCCACGCGAGAGCTGAACCCCCATCCGTTCGTAGTTCATTGTTCTGCAAATTGAAGTCGATGAACGATTTTCTTGTATTTTTATTTTATTTCCATCGATGGTTGCAGGCTTGAAACATATGCACCCGATTCCGTGCAGCGACGGGTGAATGTTCGTAGCTTAATATGCGAAAAGTAATGGTACATCTTGGCCTGTGCCACTTTCATCGTATCTTCTCCGTTCGACTAAGGAGACGAGGGCGTCTGTTGCTTTCATTGCAAACGATTGTATTTAATTGCGCTCAACTGAACACGCGTTCCATATTCAAACTTTCAACGAGGCACGGAGGGTATTTCGTCCAGTGTACACTCTGTGCAGCGGATGTTTACGCCGATGTATCCAAACAACAATGCAAATTAACTGACAACTTCCGTTGTTTGTGCAATTGCCGTTAATTCGCGTTAACATATGGTATGTACGGTCCACGTGCACGTACGCCACGTGCAATAGCTGCTCGAGGAGCCATTAGATAGCCACCTATTATGCATTGTGTAAGTACTTCGTTTTGAGAGACGAATCGTCGGGTGTCTGCTATATTATTATCGTCGTGTGATATCGAGACGTATTCGAGTAGCACGCGATCAATTTATAAGGAGATATAATAATTACATAACCTCACCGTTCTACCGGTTGGACGTAAAAATTAATTTTTTATAACTGTCAAGTCATCGAGGGTGGTCGACCTGTCAATTATCTGTATTCCACGCTCGCTGTCACCCGTTAAAAAAGAATTTGTACGAATATTACGTAATCATGCCGGACTTATTGTAACATATGGAATGGTATAATGCACGTGCTTATGCAGCGAGCGCCGCCATATTGGAATCTTCATTACCTGGGTGGGAATGTACATACCTACCTCCGTTTGACCCATTAACCATTTGTTAATGGCAATAGACCTAACAGACCCATACTTTACGTCTTGATCGATGTCATATCAACAGGTGGGACTATGAAACTGTTTAGGATATCTCCAATGCCATTGTTAATGCTATCTCAAAGTATCAGCATACTCAGCACGTGATAATTTCGTGATTAATGGCACTAAAAAACCTCGTATACCATTTTTTATGTAAATCTAATAACTCTTTAGCAAATAATTTTGAAGTTGCATGAAAATTTGGAAACTCTTTTGCTCAGCTTGTGGTGAACCCTAAATGAGAAACAAGAGCTTGTTAATATTTTCACGTAACATTAACGGTGATATAATTGAAAATCCCCTAAATTCGTAGTATCATAGTACCACCTGTTGGAGTGATGTCAATCAAAACGTAAACTACGGGAGCCTGCCAAATCTATTGTGACTTGTGACTAATACTGTTCTATGTATAAACCCAACGCGCCTAACGAAAGTTAAGGACCAACCGTTTTCTCAAAAAATTGATACAATCGACTGTTCGGAAGCGTGCATGAGCAGATTATAGTTTATGGTCCGGTTAATTTGTTGTATGATCCGTGGCGCGGGTAAACGGCTTTAAATATGAAATCAGAACGAGAATGGGAACTTGCTCATCATGGCGAGCGACCTTCGAATGTGAGATACCGTTACATTACGGGACTTCCTGCGAACAGTCTCAAAAATTGACTCATTTTTGCGTAGAACGACGAAACGCAATCTGCGTTTCTGTTATGACCAAAACATTACAGATAAATATTTTTTTTTTTCCATAGCAATCAAGGAGCTTCGACGACTGAGAAAGTATATCAGCAAAAATTCTTAGCTTCTGTGCGTTATCGTATAGATATTTTCTCCTTGTTTATCGTTCATTTAATAAAATAAACGTTTGTCGATTATTTTAGAGACCTGGGGAGTCGAGAACCGATACGTTTCGGTTACAGTCACGGGCACGGTCATTGAAACGACCCAAATGGGATATGCGATCGCCTCAACAGGGTTCCTTGAAAGAAATTCTCTCAAACTCTCTCGGTCGTAATAGGAGCAACGACCTGAGCCATTCTTACCCGCCGTAATAGTATTTTGAGTACTTCTTTTTTATATCTGCAATTTGTAAACATTATTTCGCAATTACTTAAAAACAATTTTATATCTAAATTAATTTTAGTTTAGAGATATTTCCAACGTACGAGATAAATGCAAGGAACACTGTACTTTTAATAAAATAATTTAAACTTTGAAAAAGGAAATTGTTTCTTTGCATCGACGCCGTACTAGCGTAGCAGCCTTAAAGTATCGAGTAACAAAGAGCGTTTGTCTTCAAGAAATTCAAGCCTAAGTCCCGATACGAGAGCGATGGACAATGCGACCAGAAATAGCATATCTTCTTGGTTTCTTCGATACGGTCGAACTCGAGGGTTTCAAGCTTCAAAGATCTGCCGACCGTTCCTCTTAGATTTTCGGTTATTTCGGTAAGGGTTACGGTTAAACACTCAGATTTTATCTCGTCTCACGCTATGGTTACAGGCCTCTCGGATCTTCGCACAGTTTCAGCCAGGAATTTCTCTCGTTTCTCGTTTTGGTCGGCGGTTATTGAGAGACTTCACGGGACTCCCCGTTAGAAACGCACTTAGCAATGAACAAAGTGCACACCAGACGTCACACGATGACCTTACTATTTTTCTCGTTCATCACCTTTTGTTGTAGAACCTCTGTAATCGATTCACTGAAGAGATGGTTACAACTTAACAAGGAAACATCGACATGATCTTCTAATTTAATTCTACTAATTTACACGTATATTGTTCTGAATACTTACGTTTGATGGAACAAGTGCTTGCCGGTTATTTTGTGAAAAGAAATAGACCAGACGGACTGTGCTGGAACTTAAATCATGGAAAGCAGACCAGCCCTGTAAACACACGAGTATCTTGCGTTAGCTCAGATTTATTTTTAGTACTTTTAAAGCGTATTGAAAAACTATACTTCCCTTTTTCATTTATGCGTTATACGACATAGATAAAATAAATTACCTCATATTTTTAATGTATCGCTAGCCACCTTAAAGAGGAATCCCTGCAATGAGTCCTGTGAATGAAGGAATAATGTATATCGATTAGTTTTTTTATTTACTGTATGAGTTTTTGTAAAAATTAATGATAATATAAAATAATTTTGATAATTCTGCGTATTATAATTGTAATTAATGTTAAGCTCGTTGTCTACGGTTCAAGGAATAAATACAAAATTCGAACGATCCTATCTTCGACGACCACTTGACTATATTTACAATTCCTCGAAAACTGGGTTACCCGAACATTGGCTAAACATTTGGTTCGCTCGGGTCGAGCAACAAAACGTCGTACGAACAGCCATTTCTCAAACTTTGCTAAGTTGATTAGCCTGATTTTCAGCCAGATACATAAGTGGAACGCGCACAGCCATTAAAATATATTTTTACGAATGCTCGACGACACGATTATTCTCGAATTACTAACATTTTTTCAGTCAATTAAACGTTTTATCATTTCGCGATAACTTTAATATGTAGCAAACTGAACTTTGTAAAATAAATATGTTTTTGATTAAACATAGAAATTTTCTTAATAAAACTTAAAATATTGAAAGAATTTATTGGAATCGTTATTGTCATAGACCATTTTCTTTAACTTGGAGTTAAAAATATTGAAAGAATTTGTTACAATCGTTATTTTCATAGACATTTTGAGAGACGGTGCTTTCTCTTGTAAAAATATCCGACAATCTTGACATCCGCCATTTTCTTTAACTTGGAACTTCGATAACCTTGATCGACTCTGTGCAATGTAGGTTTAAAAGTCGTATTAGCCATTTATCGAGTCCAAGCGAGCTAAGCGAGCATGCATCAGGTCAATAATCCGATCTCAATAAGAAACCATGCGCGAAACGTGCAACAAAGAAATCGGTCCATTGTAATGTCAACGAATCCCAGTATAAAAGTCGAATTTCCGCCATTTTGTATTGTCATATCGATGTATCGATATCAAAACGCATCGATATTTTGGACATTTCGATCTATTGAATTTTAATAATTTCCTATTTTTCTTTAACATGCAAAATTACATTTTAAACAAGCACCTTATTACTAATATTAGAAACCTAATTTTTGGTTAATAAATTAATAAATAAGTTCTTTTAACCCCAAATTCGTAGCCACCAGCTCAAAAAATCACCACCTATATTAAAAAGAATTAGTTAACTCGAATCGTCGTTAGCTCCACTCGATGTGAGAAATTCTAACCTCTCCCTCTCGAGCCTCGTTCGAGATGAGCAGTTCCAAGAAGGGACGGGAATAACTTGCGGTCAAAACGAGGGGTCATACTGTACTTTGTTGTAATAAAATGATTCCACATCTGCCCATTGATACTCGAGTCAAAATAAAATTGACACGTTCGCGATCTAAAGCGGGCAATTAACCTTCAACTGGTATCACGGAGTACTTTGATATCCCAACGACTACGTTCATTTTATTCACAATCAATATCGAGCCTTATCATTTTGCGTAATCGCATAAAACGAAAACAATTATTGCAAACAGACGATACCAGTTGAGGTTATGGTTAAATAAAGCAAGAATAATTTTAAACGCACCACGTTTTCATTGTTTAAGGCGGAGGAATGGCCGACGAACCCCGACGACTTCCTCGACTCCATTTTCAAGCTGGAGGATCATCAGTTCAACCTGATCGAGAATGATTTGGAGACGATACCGTCTTCCTCCTCGGACAGCGGGCTCTCGAGCGCTCTCAGCCTCTCCTGCGAGCAACAACTGAGCCCGTTGTTACCGATCGAGGAGGATCAGGTGGAGATCAGCAACTCCGAAATGAGCAGTCCGCAGAATTTCATGGATTTCGAATCCTTGGACAGTCCGAACCAATCGGTGGGCAGCGTGGACAGTCCGGAAAGGTCGGTTGTCGGCTCCAACATCGGTTCACCGGTTGGTACAGACATCGCCGAAGAAATGGATGTGGAGCAGACACTCGTGGCGGTGGTGAACCCCAATAACACCCTGGCAGATGCCAACGCCACTATTCTGGCAGACCAACCGGTTCTGAATTTAGGTAAATTCCTATTATTCACTGTCTCGATCGTGAGATTACTTTCGTTGAATATTCTAGCCAAAGTCGGGTTGGGTTGGGTTAGGCTAGGTTAGGTCTGGGTTAGGTTAGGTTTGTAAAAGAGTGAAATACATACGTATTTTTTTTAGCTGCAGTAACTTAAGCTTAAGGGACGAAACCACCCATCAAAGTTTGACCCCGAAAGTTCGATTAATTTATTATTGAATTCTTGATAATATTGTTATCGTCGTAAACTTGAAAGTTAAAGTAATCATCAGTCGAATAGAAAATTTAAATATTCGGTAATGTATTTCTAGTTGATGGTGTCTTATGATACTTTGTTATTTGCTATTTAGTTTAGTGACGCTCGAAAGGTCTGAGCGAATGAATCTTTATCGCGATTAGAAATAGTATAATAGATACTCCCGAAGGAATGTGGTCTACCGCCATAAAACGCGTCATAGTTATTATTCGCGCTGGTGTGATGAAACAAACGATCGTTGCTTCTCTGCTTTGAGAGGATGCACAATGCTTAGCAATTCGTCGAACTAATACAATTTGAACAGTTGTTGTTTGTCTGAACGACCATCGAAGTTAAATACGACGGTAACACGCAGTTTGCCAAAGTTACCATTCACCAAAGAATATTTAAAATGATAGATAAAAAATGTATTCTTGCGATTATTTAATATTGACAAATCTGTTAATATAGAAAAAGATACTAAAATCATCCCCATTCTTCTTCATCAATGAAAATGAAAAACACTGATAAAAAATTTAATGGGAGATTCTAGAGACCAAAATAAGACGAAAATCAAGGATACTAATTTGTTGAATGAGGCTTCGTTAAAAAGTTATTAAAAAAAAAATTAAAAAATTTCAAATCGTTCTAAAAAAATTATTTTTATTTGCGGGGGCCAATTACAATCATTTTTGGTCAACAGACATAACCCCGAAATCCTACCCACTTTCTAGAAAAAAATTCGAGAAGGGTGAAATTTTTCGACAAAATTAAAAAATTTCAAATCGTTCTAAAAAAATTATTTTTATTTGCGGAGGCCAATTACAATCATATTTGGTCAACAGACATAACCCTGAAATCCTACACACTTTCGAGAAAAAAATTCGAGAAGGGGTGAAATTTTTCGACAAAATTAAAAAATTTCAAATCGTTCTAAAAAAATTATTTTTAATTGCAGGGGTCGATTACAATCATTTTTGGTCAATAGACATACCCCCGAAAATCTACGCACTTTCGAGAAAAAAATTCGAGTATATGTGAAATTTTTCGACAAAATTAAAAAATTTCAAATCGTTCTAAAAAAATTATTTTCGGTTGTGAGGGTCAATTACAATCATTTTTGGTCAATAGACATGACCGCGAAATCCTACCCGCTTTCTAGAAAAAAATTCGAGAAGGATGAAATTTTTCGACAAAATTAAAAAATTTCAAATCGTTCTAAAAAAATTATGTTTATTTGCGGGGGTCAATTACAATCATTTTTGGTGAATAGACATAACCCCGAAATCCTACCCCCTTTCGAGAAAAAAATTCAGTACGAGCGGAACTTTGAACGTTAATAACTTTTTAACGAAGCCTCCATCAACATGAATATAACAGCGACAGAATTTTTCTCAATCAGCAATTATAATTTTTTAAACGTGTGGTATGAAAGAGAATTGTTTTTTGTTCTTGTTTTAGACAAATTACCGAAGGTACGCGTCGCGTCTCAAGAGAACAACACGATAAATGTCCGTAACATCACATGCAACGGTAAACGCAATATCAGACAATTGATACGCGTCACGCCGATGGGTTCTGGAAACCCGAGATCAATTCTACTGCCGGTGAGTCTCAAAGACATGAAGGAGGTGCGGACCATAAAAATCATCAACGCGTCGCAAGCGAGGAATTTGAAAGGATTCAAGATCAACCAAGCAAATATCATCAACAAACCCGTTCAAGTACGCGAGCCATGAAAATTAATAATAAAAGTGTATCATTATCATTCATTATTTTTTTTTATCAAATACAGTATTTTCAATCATTCTAAACATTTCAAGCTCCAGATAATCTTGTCTTAAGGATCTTAAAATAACCTTTGAGAGCACAAAAATTAGAACATCTCTTGCATTCCGTCATCTCCTACATAAAAGATGTCCACTGAAATCATTATCTCATAAAATTAGTAGGTCAGCCGTTGATTCAAACGCCAGTCACCTCGAGACCTATATAGAGCTATACACTTATATTTTTCCAGTTATATCTTTGAATCATAATAAATAAGAGGTCGGTACACTTGCCCTGTATAATTAGTTTTCTCTTTCATTTGTCGATCAGGTGACCATCAAGCAAGAGGACTCGGGTAGCGAGAAGAGCCGCAATTCGAGCGACGAGATATCAGAGACGGATTCCCCGTACCCGAGGCTGAAGCTGAACGCGGAGGAGAAACGTCTGCTCCAGAAGGAGGGGATAACGTTGCCGACCCATTATCCGCTGACGAAGCACGAGGAACGCGAGCTGAAGAGGATCAGGCGCAAGATCCGCAACAAGATATCCGCGCAGGACTCGCGGAAAAGGAAAAAGGAGTACGTGGACGGGCTGGAGGATCGCGTGAAACAGTGCACGGAGGAGAACATGACGCTGTTGAAGCGGATCAAGGCGCTCCAGTCGCAGAATCAGAGCCTGGCCGGGCAACTGAAGAGGCTGCAAACGTTGCTGCAAAAGGGCAACAAGAGCGCCCAACCGGCCACTTGTTTAATGGTATTGCTGCTCTCGTTGGCTCTCGTTGCTGTCCCGAACTTGCGGCCTCACTCCAACTCCAACAACGAACTCACGCAGGAACAGGAACAGCCAGAGAAAATGCCACCGCTAGCAGGTGAGTGCAACGCTTCCTCCATCTCCAATCGCATGCAGTCTTCCTCCAAGTTCTGTCTAACCCTAGAATGCCCGGGGACCAGTGGACACCAGGAAAAGTATCTAAAATTATCATTTTCACCGTACCAGTCCACTATCCTCATTTTCGTTATTACTTTTACAGAAAATAGAGACGTTATGCTCCGTCGAAATTGTCTTGAAGTATTTGGATGTGTTCCTCTTGCATGTACTTTCAAGTCTATGACCGAAAAGTAGCGCACTTTCCACAATTCGAAGATCCATGCTATTGATCCACTTGAGAAGATAAAGTCCAGACCGCTAATTTTTGATGGATTTTTTTTTTTAAATTATTGTTAGATACTTTTAGCTCTATGTTGCAAGAGCTGCGTGTCTATGCATTATTGATTATGCTCGTGTTGAGACAAATTCAAAGACCTGTTACAACATGACCTTTGGATAATCGGTAAAAACGATCAAAGATGAAAATTGCTTCATTTTATGTCGCTTAATCTTTGTGTAATATTCTCAAACAAATTTAAAAAAAAATTAAAAACGATAGAGTACAATGGTTACATATGCATATAAGTTGACTTTCCAGAACTTTCGAACTATCTGAGGCATAACAAATATTTTACAGAACAAAATAATGACACAGACAATTCAACTTTCTAAGTATACAATACTATCATGTTTTATAAGTTAGAAAGGTTTCTTAATACGTTGCACTGCCGTGGTAGTCACTGGTGACTGGTGTTTCAAACTCTTTTTTAATTTTTCTTTTATTTCTCGAGAATAATCGAGTATCGTCGCCTTATGTTTACTATTTCTTATAGTTTTATCAGCACTTTATCCTACCACGAAAAAAATGCCCACGATTGTATAAAATGTGGATTGATAACCGAGCGAACTTTGATTAACGCGACACATTGAAGGTAAATATCGCTATTAATAGGCATTTAATTTGTGTCCTTCGAGTATTCCTAGTAAAAAAAACAAACGCGTATCGAAGACGTAACTTCGTCGAAGTGGACGTACATACATTGACATATATCCATTATCTTCAGACACGATTAGGTAACCCCAGATAATTGTGTGGCGTTAGGTGAATATTTTACGCAACCATCGATTCGTAATCCTGATAACCGTTCTCATAGTTAGAATGCAAACGATCAAAGGTGTTCAAAGTCGATCCAGTTTTGAAGAGTCGAACTCTTTTCATTTACTAACAATTATCGTATTATCGACCAAATGATTTTCACATAAAAAGTTATCAGATAAAATTGTCTTGAGGATAACAACCTAATATCTTGGATGAAATCACCTTTATTCACAACCATACAGTAGTTCGTAATCTCGATTTTTAAATGCAAGAACATATCCACGCGTAACGAGTAGGAATTTTTAAATCATTTGTAAACTAACATCCGTTTACACTTCGCTCATAAATTGAGAGCATTATAATCCAACATTCCAGGCGATGGAAAATTTTTAAACGAATAAAATGTGCCTCCAATTATGATTTATTGCATACCGGATATTAGACGTCGATTTTTCTGCGTTCATATTATATATCGCGCGAAAATGATTCATCGGCTAATTTGCATACAACCGTCGCAAATTTATTGCCCGCGATGCCGATTGCTCAGACAGCAAATTCCATGAGCTGGGAACGTTTGAATTGCGCCATAAAAAATAGCGAGACGCGCGATACGATATCAGTTATATTTCAGATTACGAAACAAAATTTACTCTACGCACAATCGTTTCTGCAACGTAGTATATAAAAGCAACAATTTATGGCCACGTGCAAGAATAATGTTCAAATAATTAATCCTAGAACGCGAACGCGAAAAATATTTAGCAAACACCAAGATGGCCGACATGCGCGCAACGTCTTTGTCCAAACGCCATTGTTTTCTTAGAATTCTACAGATATAATATAATACAGCCAAATATATTCTTCCGAGTCGAACAAAGACATTTTAACTCCAATTTAGGTGTCGAGAAAATTTATTGTCGCGGATGTTTCGTTAAATATTCCCTGATAGATACAATGATGAATATATTTCGAAACTGATAGCTATGGGATTGATATATTTACACCGGTATGGTGAAATCGGAGCAGGCTATGAGATCGAGCCTGAAGTTGCTCGGCTACTTTCAAAACGAGGGCAAGAAAGCTCCGGATCCTTTCTCAACGTCTGAATTGGACGATCCTTTCCACCGATATTCCGATCCAACCACTTTCATGATGAATACCAACAGCACCGTCAATTCGAACGCATTTCGTTTCAGATTATACAGTGGGCAACAATAGTATTCGAATGCTTTGATTTATGATTTCTAATTTAAAACTTATTACAATCGTTTTTACGAATCAAAAATCACTATTCCTTGATCGTAAATAAAATTTGCCCCACCGATTCGATTTTTAGGTTAGACTATTTGTCGCGTAAAATCTAAACGAATCTATAGCAGAAGGGATTGAAGTCCATCGCCACATTTTTCGTCGACAACGGCCTTCGAGTAGCCTCTCGATTTTCGAAGGCGTGTCGTGAACCTCGAGAGGTCATTGAACTCGATTGAAATTCAAACGCCAGCACTTTAGATCCGTTAGCGTGTAACCTGTTTCCCGTTGTCGGTTACGAAACAGATGGCCCAAACCGTGCCTACCAAATACTGCTTGCAGCGGGTAACAATTAATCACGCTGTAAATGGCATCTGAGATAATTGCTTTCGACAAACGATATGAAACGATTGAAACGATCTCGTATAGAATCTTGCAACCTTACCTAACCTCCCTATCAAACTTTTTGTATCACCAACGCTATTTAACCTCAAAACACACGCCTATGCTTTTACGTTGCAGGTCGCTCTCGAACATTACTCTATACGAAGCAGCTGATGGACGAAGAGCTGCAGCAATACAGCGAGGAATTGCTGCAGGAAGTGGAGGGCCTCCTGGATCACGATTACAGCCCGGTGATCCAGCCGCCCCTCTACAAACGTCCTCGCATAGAGATAGAATCGACACCGAAATGTGTCTCGTCTTCCAGCCATGTCGGCGGGACGCTCTGTGGAAGACAGAACTACATATCGAAGTCCACCAGGCAGTACATCGAGCCACCGTTGGACGACATTTGGCCACCGCCTAAACCAGGCGGGCAGAAGAAGGTGGTCGACAAGCTCGAGGCGCTGACGAACGAGCTGAAAATCAACATTTCAGATTCCGACGGCACCAGGACCGTGCTTCTCGAGGTGCCCCAGGAGCAATAGATCAACCCTTTCGATGGTACAGGTGCTCGCAATTGCTCTGACCGATCGGTGCAGTCCGTGATGTGATCGAACATACACGATTACACCGTTTCCATACACTGTGCGTGCCAAGAAAACCAATCGTAGCACCGAAAGGGTTTAACATGCACCAGTCACCGTGAGATGGCGCTGTTGCACGATCGTATTATCCTACCGACACGTCCTTCCGCAAAAAAGAAGGCACAGCGTGTTACAACCCCCACTCTTGTTGCAATCCGCTGATTGGCTGTCATCGATCTTCGTCACCGTTCTCGACCAATTACCTGTGAGTCGGCGGACTGCAACAGGAGTGGGGATGTGAACACTCTGTGCCTTCTTCTCGTGGAAGAATGGTACGCACGTCGCGTTCCGCGACTACGAGCAACGGTAGTCGTTTCACGATGTTTTCTACGAAGTTTCTTTGAGAAAGGAATCACAGATCACGAGAGATGAATCACCGAAAATCCTTTAAATATATTCCTCGTTTGTTAAGTAATTGTAACAATCTCTTCTAGATGAGAAATTGCAAAGGGTTTGAACGTTGATGAAAGTATGTCTCTTTGAACGAGAGACGTGTAGATGATGCAGTCTGTCTGGCACGTCGCATAGGATTTTTAATACATTTTTTTCTGCGTGCTTGATAGAATTGCGGAAAAAATTTGTTTGGCTAATAATCTGCTTCGACAGTCGCTCGACTCTTTCGTTTCGAGGTTGGACATTTTTTTTAAAAACCGCAGTTTTAAGGACAGCTTAGTTTTCAATGAATTTTTAGTACACACGAGTTTCTGTACTACGTCGCTCCTATTATTGCGTATCTACATTTAGGACATCGAAGCTATCTCATATTCATACGTCATTGATCGTCTTTTGTGTATTAATACGTATTAACCGTACTTATCACGAGACTTCGATTTGTATCGATTGTATTTCGCCTATTAGTCAAAGACCATCGCATACCTACGTAGATCGGATCGTTTTTAGGACATTTTTTCCAAGAGTTTTTATCCATTCAACGACATGTAAGATTTACCTATTTATAAGGAGAATTTATTACGGGAGTTTTACAACTATTATTGCTGTTGCCGATGATAAAAAAAAATATTTGTATATAATTACTATATAGAAACATAAAACTGACACGAATACATATATATTAGAATTATACCTATCGTAGCTTTAACTTTAACGAAATAGAATTTACGACTCTATTTATGCTACTGTACGCAAAAGAAGCTATTTACAGAAGTACAGTAGACCACGAGTAATTCATTGATGAAATTTGTTTATAAACACACATGTGAGAAATGTGTAGCGTGTACGTTTCCATCCTTTACTGTGCGATAGATTATTCGAAGGATGAGTTTCGTTGTATAATTTCTCGGGAGCTGGGATATCACATTCAATGTCATATCACGCGGAATGTTCGCGCCAGGTTTAGGTAAACCTACGGCCACGTTTTACCGTGAAACGTATTTAAAACGAGAACTGTGTGTTAACCAACACCAGGCTTAAAGACTGTATCATACATGTTAGTCGCATTCTGACATATTCTTCAAACACGAGACATATTCCTCTCCTCATCTTTAATTCCTTACGTTTAGATAAGTTTAGGCGATCGTCGAATTTATTTTTACTTTATATATGGTTAAACGTGATGTGCATATAGATACACAGCTATATTCACCGAATTGTAAATAAACACACCGTGAAGAAAATATTTAGTCGTTTAAATAGTTCGTACTTATGTTAATCTTTCTTTTAATGAAATTCGAGGAAGAAGGCAAGAGGCGCGCACAGCGAATAAATAAACGAGAACACGTCGGCGAGAAAAGAATTTTGGTTTCTTTTCTTTTCTCTTTTTTTTTTTTATTGAATTCGCAAGTTCTTGCACGTTAAGGGATTCTGACGTTCTTCCAAAGAATTGTTATTGGACACGTATATGCGAGTGTCGTCGACGTTAACTGTAGCGTCGACACTGTTTTTATTTAGATAAGTTCAACGATACATTCCTACCAGTAACGTTTATTCAAAAATAGAATGGTTCTATTTTTGCACTATGTAAAAGGGTTGAAGGTACTACACTCTAAATTTGATTCAGTATACGTGTAACGACATTAAAAAAAATAAAAGTTACAGTCAAACTTTATGCAATTCATTTCGTTCCCGAAGTACCTATTAAGTTCGACCGGACATCCGGAAGTGGTGGTACATCTAGTTTGTTAATTCTAATATCACAATTTTCTCTATAAGAATATAAAACAAGTAATATATGGTTTTCATTTAAGGAATCTTTTAAACATATTAAAGATTATTATTTAAACAATCTCTGGCATGTTCCCAGCAGCCAGCGCCTCTTACGGACGTTTCTCTAACAGTGTTATTACTTTCCCGCCAGAACCTGTCTTCGATAAAGCGTTTAAACAGTGGCATTTGTAATTATTATTTGTAATAATTTGTATTATCTGTTTATGTGTTAAATTCTCACTTCTTCATCGACATGGAAGATTTATCGAACGTGGCTGATTTACTGCCAACTTACTACGCGAGGTTATTTCCCTTTCTCGATTACTATCGTTGGCTCAGTTACGGAAACGGTACGTTAATCGTGATTACGCGAAACAAATTATGATTAATATTTCTGTAAGTTGGGTTCTGTCATCCAACATCCTACATTTTCTCTACATTTTCCACTAAATTCTTTTCAGTGAGCGTATTCACCCGCAGAGAGTTTTCGTTTACTCTACAAGACGATGTTTACATCCGGTATCAATCGTTCAAAGGCGCAAAAGACTTGGAACACGAAATAAAACGGCTTCTACCCTTCAAAATAGATATAGGGGCAGTGTACAATTACTGGTAAGCATTCGCGTGATTACGAGCGTTTATCGATGTATCAATTTTTTATTTTTTTGCACATAGCCCGAAGGAAATGCGGGGGACCCCGAATTTTCAGCCTGTCGAGAGAGAACTAGTATTCGATATAGATATGACTGATTATGACGAAGTAAGAACATGTTGCAGCGGTGCAGATATCTGTCCCAAGTGCTGGAAGTTTATGTCTGTCGCCTGCAAAATATTAGACAATGCTCTAAGACGTAAGAAGAAATAGTAAAAATATTCTATCGTCGATATGGATGAGAATATCAACCTGGTTTTACATTTTTCAGAGGATTTTGGATACAAGCATATTTTGTGGATATTCTCCGGCAGGAGAGGCATACATTGTTGGGTATGCGATCCTGGTGCACGTAGTCTGTCCAGTTACGAGCGTGGTGCAGTGGCAGAGTATTTACAGATCATAGAAGGTGGAGAGTACATGAAGAAAAAAGTGAAATTAAATCGCGATGAAATACACCCTTCTATCAAGCGAGTATAATTGTCGTTGAGCGAATTTGATTTTATTAATTTTTATTGAAAAATGTGAAACTATGATTTCAGACGTGCTCTTGAAACGATAGAAGCTGTTTTCATACCATTTTGCGTAGAAGAGCAAAATATACTAGGAACCGATGAAAGAGTGGAGAAGTTTCTGCAGATATTGTCTGAAGAAGAAGACAGACAAGAATTGAAAGCACTGTTTAATCAGTGCAATTCCAGCAAAGATAGATGGCACCAGTTTGTTAAATACGTTAAAAGCAAAAAGACAATGGTGCTACATCATAATTTTGATCGAATCTTCGAAATTATTGAGATACTCTTTTTTTTAATATTGGATATTTGATTTAGGGTGACCAAAAGAGGCGATTGTATCGTCATTTGGTAGAGGAAATAATGTTACAATACGCGTATCCAAGATTGGACATAAACGTCAGTAAAGGCATGAATCATCTTTTGAAATCCCCTTTTTGTATCCATCCGAAAACAGGCAAAGTTTGCATACCATTCACCGCGAACACGGTAGATAAGTTTCAACCAGATAAAGTACCGACAATCGCAACGCTGATCGAAGAAATCAACGAGTACGATCTGAAGGATAAAGTCGAACAGAAGACATACGATTTGAACACAAAGAGAATAAAAGACTACAAAAAGACAAGCCTGAATAAATCGCTCCGGCTTTTCCAGGAATTTCTATGGAATTTAGAGAACGATCGTAAAGGCCAGAAAATTATCGAAAGCGGTATTTATTTTCTTATACCCGTGTAAAAAGTATAATTGTTCCTACATGATTTTTTTTTCTTCTTTCAGACGCGAAGATGGAGTTCTAATTTAGATAGTTACGTTGTATGATAATTGAATTATGTGATTATTGTGTATTCTGATGATTATTTATTTATATATTATGTATGCATTTACAAATAAAGTTCATGAAAAGAAAAATTACTTCGTTAGACAATATCGACGATAATACGCTTAACGAGAACTTTAGTTACTCGAATGAGAAGTTAAAAGTAATGGGGGATAATTAGCAGACATTATATAAATCCTCGTTATCGGGAAATCTACTATTATGACACCGGGTGCCTACTTCAAACGCATAACGTGAAAGTTTACGTAAACGGTACGAAGAGCAAACGCGTGTCGACCGCGAAAAAATATTTATCGAAGCAATATTTGCCTCCGTTCTCACAATTTTCTCGTCAAGGTTTCGAAGCGGAGGTTAGATCAGTGATTTCTATCCAAAGACCATGGCGGAGGCGGCGAGTTTAAAAGGACATCCAACCACGGCGACGCGGTCGTAACGAAAGTACATCTACGATCCGCTTCTAACTGGCCTTAGCCATATTTGACTATTTACGTATTCAGTCGTTTACCGCGACAAGATAAACTGTCTTACGGGCAGACGATCGGGGGCTTGACATCGTGCCATCGGTGAGATCGATTGGCAAGATTTCTAAAAAAAAAGAAAAAAAAAACACTTTCACCACACGTACACGTTTCTGGCTAGCCTGTCCTCGCGTTACTTTTTCCTGTTTTTACGTAAAATACTGCACCAACGTGAGATGGTTTTTTCATCGGGCATTCGCGTCGTCCGCTGTTTAATTCAATTTTACGGGGAAAGGACGCTGCGCAAAACATAATGGCAAAAACTTCTCGGTGAAATTTGCTACTTTAACCGGACGGAGAATGTAAAATGTTGCGAGAAAACGTATCACCCTGTTACTTTCATGGAAACGGCTACTGGAAAAAGCGAGGGAAACTAGCGTTGTACAGACACTGGTCGAAAGTTGAAAAACTAACCCCCAAAAATGCTGAGAGATGGGGTTGCTTTTAGGTGCTGTACGATTAATGGATTTTTCAATTTTAACATTAGAATATACAAAGAAGCTATTGGGTCTAGGTTAGGGTCCATTTTTAGGGTCCATCTTACATCCAAGGTAAGTTACAAAGAGAGCAGAGGAATTTCATGACAGGTTACCAGAAACGGGTTTAACGAGAGTAAGAGTTTTAACATTGTCTTTTTGTACACTTTGTATAGACCCTGGTATTAAATCTTATAGTCAGTCGAAAATCGTCTCGTTTCGAGAGTCCTTGGCGTCGGTGTGCTAATACGACCACGCATGACAGTATCTCCTACGGCGTATGTAAATACATGCCTCTCGTTATGGAAATATCTACGAGCACGTTCGTTGTGTCCGCGGAACAAATTAGTAACTACCGGCGTGAACCTCTCGTACACAGAAGGACGTTAAATATCATTTGCATTCATGAATTCCAAGCACGCGTTTCGTAAAAAGTGACGAACAATGATACCTAAATAGATAATTAACGCCGTGTTCGTTCGCTCTGAATTCCGCGAAAGAGATGAACTTTCTCGTTACGATTTCTGACTGGATGGCAATTAAGTTACGACACGTTCTCTTTCGCGAAACGTCTCGGATCGTCCGCTAGAAAGAGATCGGACTAGAAATAGGTTAATTGTCTTCTAAAAGACGCTTCGTTTCTCCGACGCGAACAGTTATTACGTTCTCGTGGATAAGTAAATAAATTGGCTACCCAACGACGCGCTTGTGGTTTTCATTATCGTTTCTCGATTAACGTTTCAGATTCTTCCGCGTTTCCGGTGAAAGTACCGTATTGTGCTCGAATATGAATTTTGATACACATAGGTTGCTTCGTATAGAAGATTAATAACGTTATTGGTATAAAAACCAAACGATACCGTAATACGTGAAGCATTGCCAAGCGAATATAAAGTCACAAGTAACAATAGGATATTTGGTCACTGTTACGGGGCGTTTCGCGTATGTCGTGAGAAAGTAGGTGTCGTTCTTATCGCATAGTTTCTATTACACTTGCCGCGAACTAGGTGGAGCACAGATGGAAAGCGAATCGAATGGGTTGGTAGTTTCTTGTCCAATATATCCCCGTGTTAAGCGAAGTTTACATACCTCGGGTCTCGAATGAAAAAAAGGAATTCCTCCGAGGACTGCGGTAATTGCAATACTTCTTGACCGTGACCAAGTGGCTGCTACTTTATAGGTCGTTCCGTTAGAGGTATATCGCCATTTAGACACCTCTAATGATACATTGCGTGTCGTAATTATAGAACCGCTCTAAAGTTGTCAATTTCTATATATTCTTGTTAATATATCTTTAAATCTTACTTTTTCCTCGAGCTCAGCCACGCAGAACGCACCCTCCTCGTCTCCAGTCATCCCGAGCGCACTCTCTCGAGCACTGCCTGAACTACTTTCGAACGATGGCGCGAACAGGTGATTTTCTAGTCATTGTTGACATTTGCCTCGCTATAGAGGTGTCAGTTTCTCTGTTCATTCGACTGTTTGGAATATACTATTCTCAAGACTCATTACTTTATTGAATTCAGCAATAAGTAATTAATCTTTCTTTAAAATCTTCATTTACAAATATATTATTGTTATTATCGACTGTTGCCTCTTCCTACTTTTTTTTTATCTTACAAACAAAGCTCTTTGATATAGTAGAGTAAGAGAGTAGAGAATACAAGTCTGTGCAACAAGGTTTTTATCGATACATCCTGTAGAACTTAAAAGTAGATTAAACTTCTTTGTCCGTTCGTTATTGTCGATGTTCTCTAAGTACTATGGTTCCCATTTATTAGAAAAGTTAGCGTTCATCCGAGCTTCGCCGTCCGCGCGATCTTGAAGCATGATTCCCAAGTTCTTCGTCGAGCGACCAATTCAGGGAAGGATCGTTTCTTGCAGCCGCAGCTAGATCGCAATCGATTCGCCGCTGAGTCACTTCCCGATCGCTGGAATCGTCGATGGAACTTCTTTCTTTGCTCGCGATCGCCGGATCCCAATACCATAAACGATAAATCTATACGCGTTTTACGTCTTAGTAACATTCGTTTGAAACGCCGATCCGCGAATGTGGGTCATCCATTGACACGGGATCGCCCGTGTACGGCGTCGACAACATAATCGTTTCTTCCTTAACGACAAATGTAAATACGAGAAACAAATGAACCGTAATTTAGTACAATAATAAAACCAGCAAGAAGAATATTATTTAAACGATCATCGTCGCGACAAAAAATACAATTAGTAGAAAGAAGGAACGCCGAGAAAAATACGATCGGTCGAAACGGGGCCGGATAATCGGTAGTCTATTGTACAATTTTTTTGCGCCAAACGAAGATTCTACGTTTTTGTTCCGTATTCCGTTTTTCTCCACAAAATGGCCTTCCATATTTTTAACGTATCACGTTTCAAGATGGCAATTTGCCTCCATCCGCTCCGGTAATTAAAACTCTATTATGTTTTTTTACAGTTTTAGGATCCCGGGAACAAAAAGAGGACCGAACCAGCTTACAAATATCCGTCGGATCGATATCGATTCGTGAAAGTACAGAGAGGGGGAGGGGTAGTATTGGTCAACGGCGATCGAACGAAATTAATCATCTCGATATCTCGTTAACGCCGTCGCGCGTGGAACTGGTTTCGGCTCATCAAAGAAGAAACGCTATGCTCGATCGCGGCTAGGAAACGCGTAATCATAATCGACGAGGATCCCCGTTCGTTAAATTTCACGGATAAGCGACGATTGTCTCGTACGGTCGCGTAACAAAGACGCGTGCACCTGAGTGCAGCCATCGTTTTACAGTTAACCGTTGCGAGCGGACGAGCTAGGCTTTTCTTCGCCGGCTTCTCGAGCGTCCCGTAGATTACGGAGAGATTAAAGCCGTGGTGAACGTGACGCGTGTTCGGAATGCTCTCGATTTTATCTGATTGCAACCGTAACAGAAACTTTATTCCCGCAGACGGCTGGCAAAAGAAACAAGATGTAGATAAACAATGAAAAATCGCGGACTGAGGGAACGAGGGGGGCCACGGTGGGACTCGTGAAATCGGGGTTCGCGCGAGAAGATTCACGGAATCGAGCTCGTATCTGACGCGTTACGATACCTCTATCAAGGGGGTAAAAATGTCTTTTCATTTGTTGCAATCAGAGTTCGAACATTTTCTAACACTTTTAACGCTAGATTTATTAGTAATTATTTTTACTATTACTTCACAATCATTTAATTCCCTATCAGGGCCCATTGTTAACAATTTCGACTGACAAGGGGGCCTTATAGAAGTAGAAATTGCTTTTGAAACAGTAGCAAGTGCAAGTTATAGTACATAAGATAGAGGGTTCTTCACAATGGGCTTACTACTATACTTACTACTGTCTTTTTGTATTAAAAACTGAAGGATTCTTTGCTTTAATATTAATGTCATACACACATAATAAATGAAATATATTTTTCCATTTCAAAATAATAAAATAAAAAGTTATTGGAATATTCAGTTTCAATTTCGCGCCTTTTTTTGTTATTAAGTGATACCGCTATGTGGCGCTATAACAGGTTAAGTTTTTCCCCCTTCTTTTGTTTTTTGGTGCGTGGTTGTGGCTCTTTTCCTGATTAATGGAGTCTGCTATTTTGCTTGAGTTGGAAATTTTAATATCTGTACGAAATAAAGTTTAATTATCAAAACAAAACTAACTTGACCGGGGATTTCAACCCGGTACCAAAAGACTCACAGCTAATCTCTCTACCGGTTTGACCAAATCTCCCTCAAAATGAAAAGTAATTTTCTTAGTACATATGTACCAAACTTTAAATAAAAATAACTCGAAAACGAACATTGAGAAGAAACCTATTAAGGTTTTTTAATACTAGGAATATACTGTAACTTGCACCAGCTATCTTTACAAAAGCAATTTCCACGACTATAAGGCCCCCTTGTAAGTGGTACAGTACTCGCGACAATGTTTGTGGGGATTCCCCAACTACCTT